TGAATAAAATATCTGTTTTGAAAGCTAAAAATACAGTTTTTGCCAAAATGACGTTACTTCCGGTGATAATGAAAATCTTAAATTACTTGTATGAAATCGTAAATGGCATTAGGTATCACATAGTGAAAATTTCATGAAAATCGAATAATAATTGACACTTTTATGGACAAAAAACCTTGAAAAGTGACCTGTTGAAAATTACCTATTTCTCTACAACTGAACAAGTTAGAAACCATTTTGTGATACCTATATGATCGTATGGGTTCATTCTATTAGTTGATTAGAATCAAATATCAAAATATTAAACAAACAACAAATACGACTCATTTCAATAAATTATTTGTTTCTAAGGCTATAAATACAGTTTTTACCCAAATTTCCTCATTTCCGGTGACATGGAAAATGTTAAATTGAGTTGAACTAGTCACAATTGACATTACGCATCAAATGGTGTCACTTTTATGAAAATCCAATAATAATTGACTCTTTTACAGACACAATAGCGTAAAGAGTGACTCATGCAAAATTGACCATTTCTCGGCAACTGCTCATATTACAAACTAATTTTGAGATAGATTCTCTTCGTATGGATTAATGCTACAAGTTTATGAAAGTTGCGAAGAAATATTTTAAAATATGAAAAGTCTGAATGGGTTGTAAATAGCTCATTTTTTCACCTTTTTTCACCTTTAAATCAAAATGACCCGAAAACGAAATCGAAATTAAAAAAACTGAGCCCGATGTTTTCTGCGCCTTTACAGGGCACACACTTTCAGTCATACCAGATTTGAAAAAAATAGTATTTGCTTTCAAAAAGTGGTACCGAACTGTCAAAATCGTAGTTTTTGCTAAATTTACGTCACTTCCATTGCCGAAAGGTAACTTTACCGGTAACAAAAAAAATGACATTTTGGATTACGGAGCATATGAACTTTGTTTTATACAAATCGAGCAATAAATAATTAATCCAGGACTGAAAAACTGTATTAGCCAATGGGGGTCAAGGAAATTTACGATGACAAAAAATGGTGCCATTTTTGGTCAAATCAGATGACTCTTTAACCCTGGGTAAAATACCACATTAAAATATTCATGAATAAAAAAGTTTTTTGTAAAAATTTAAATTTTCAAAATTTGGCGCCTAATATCTCCGACGATTCGTGGAAAATCAAAAATCTAAAGAACCGTGGCTATGTGCCTTGTCTCTGGCTATGTCAAAATGTATCCAATGTTAAAATCCGACGATTATTGTTAATATTACGGCAATATTTCAAAAATCGACAAATTCGACGATTTCGGACATTTCGCATTGTCACAGAACGTTCGAAATAGATTTAATCTCTAAGTCACACCCACTTTTCCAGTAAAACCGAAGACATCGAATCAATCCGACAAGTAGTTACTGAGATACAATCAAATTGGAAAAAAAAAATAATAATAATAATAAGAATAATAATAAGAATAATTTTAACAAAAACAATAGTGTTTCACACAAGCTACGCAGTGTGAAACCCTAATAATAATAAGAATAATTTTAACAAAAACAATAGTGTTTCACACAAGCTACGCAGTGTGAAACCCTAACTAGACAGTATAGTTTTATTATAGTTCAACAAGAGACATAAGGGACAATGATTTTAACAAATATATGTTCTTTCAGTAGATACATGTATCTGTATCTAAAGCCTTCTTGGTTTTGATCACAAGATTATATACATGTATGTGGCAAGGACAGTGCTGAATTTTGGGCAAATAAGGCCCTGTGCTAGTTAACTGATGAGGCCCCTTACTTGGGCTGTGAAGGAGGTAGGCTCCAGCATGCCTACACAGGCAGCCCAACATTATATGCTCAGTGGTAAATCCGGCACAGGGCAAGGCTTTCTCTAGAACCTACGACTTCCTCCCACTGCTCAAGACCCCTATGTGCAGACAAATTTTTAAAAAACATTGTACCTAGTATGTGTTGATTGGATGTTAAATGCCATTTCTTTCCCTATGAAAAATATTGACTATTTAGGTTTGGTTTGTGACTTAAACATAAATAATCTGTTGAACAGGTGGCCTTCATAGGTTTTTCAGTTTATGCATCCTCAACAAGACTTTGTGTTATGCTTCTTTTCCATAAATGCAATCAACAAGTATATTTTTTTAATATTTTGCACAGTTGGAGAACAACTAGCTGACAGATTCAGCCCAACCTTCAAATACATCATTATACAAAACTTTAATTCTTACTAATATAAAATGTTAATTACATTATAATAAATCAAGACGGTTATGGTTGAAATGTAACTCCTGGGGGTGGGAAGAATTCTGTCAGTTTTGGATGCAGTGTATGGTACATGTAAGTGGTTGTATTTTATAGTGAGAGGTTAGAATTTGGAGATAATTGGCTAGTCTTTCAGCCACTTGAGCTACTGGTAGTGGGTATTGATACTGTAAATAGACAATGGAGTTAATTGTAAAATTCTTGATAATTCTGTAAATTAACTAATTTTTGGAGGGTAAAATTAAAGTATGCTGTCAGTTTATAACAATATTGATGTACATGTAGTATGTGGTAGTATTGTTTTAGTATTGGATAAATCATTCTGTAGGCCTACCCGCTGGCTTAGTCAAGACTTAACTGCCAATGAAATTCTAGTTAACATACATGTACATGTAATTATTGGTTGGTGTAAACCTAGTTCAGCTCTGAACATACATGTAGGTTCAGGAACCGTCCTATTGAAGACTTGTCGAAAAAGAATCGGCATCCAGTCAATTTTACTGGGCAACTTTTTACTGCTAAACGGTTGTGTGTGAGTCTCTGTGAATGTCTGAAGAATGTAATGTAACATTTTAGTAGGAAATAAGACCTTGCTTACCTCACTAGAGTCATTATGTGCATCACAACATGCTGTTAAAAATATGTCACTATCTGCTAAACGGCATGGCAGATAAATATTGATGTAGTATGTGGTAGTATTGTTTTAGTATTGGATAAATCATTCTGTAGGCCTACCCGCTGGCTTAGTCAAGACTTAACTGCCAATGAAATTCTAGTTAACATACATGTACATGTAATTATTGGTTGGTGTAAACCTAGTTCAGCTCTGAACATACATGTAGGTTCAGGAACCGTCCTATTGAAGACTTGTCGAAAAAGAATCGGCATCCAGTCAATTTTACTGGGCAACTTTTTACTGCTAAACGGTTGTGTGTGAGTCTCTGTGAATGTCTGAAGAATGTAATGTAACATTTTAGTAGGAAATAAGACCTTGCTTACCTCACTAGAGTCATTATGTGCATCACAACATGCTGTTAAAAATATGTCACTATCTGCTAAACGGCATGGCAGATAAATATTGATGTAGTATGTGGTAGTATTGTTTTAGTATTGGATAAATCATTCTGTAGGCCTACCCGCTGGCTTAGTCAAGACTTAACTGCCAATGAAATTCTAGTTAACATACATGTACATGTAATTATTGGTTGGTGTAAACCTAGTTCAGCTCTGAACATACATGTAGGTTCAGGAACCGTCCTATTGAAGCCTTGTCGAAAAAGAATCGGCATCCAGTCAATTTTACTGGGCAACTTTTTACTGCTAAACGGTTGTGTTTGAGTCTCTGTGAATGTCTGAAGAATGTAATGTAACATTTTAGTAGGAAATAAGACCTTGCTTACCTCACTAGAGTCATTATGTGCATCACAACATGCTGTTAAAAATATGTCACTATCTGCTAAACGGCATGGCAGATAAATATGACAAAAAGAAATTTAGGTAAGCTGGGGAAAAAAATTGGAATCTTTGAAAAGTTGAGAATCTTATTGCTTTGCCTAGTCCAATTACAATCGAATTATTTCAAAAATTCCAATTTCGTTTCACTTGATTACCTAAATTCCTTATCGTCTTATATGGCCGAGTTGCGTAAATTTGCGCATTACCCTATATTAAGATTTCAATGGCTTCTGCCAAGCAGTTTAGCAGAAGGGGACATATTTTTAACAGCCAAGTACAGCATGCTGTGTTGCACATACTGACTCTAGCGAGGTAAGCAAGGTCTTATTTTCTCACTAAAATGTTCCTTTATATTGTTCAGGCGTTCACAGAGACTGACACACGATCGTTTAGCAGTAAAAAGTTGCCCAGTAAAATTGACCGGGGGTGATTCTTTTTCGACAGCCAAGTACAGCATGCTGTGTTGCACATACTGACTCTAGCGAGGTAAGCAAGGTCTTATTTTCTCACTAAAATGTTCCTTTATATTGTTCAGGCGTTCACAGAGACTGACACACGATCGTTTAGCAGTAAAAAGTTGCCCAGTAAAATTGACCGGGGGTGATTCTTTTTCGACAAGGATTCAATAGGACGGTCCCTGAACCTACAGGACGAGTGTAATGAGACATATGTTCAGAGCTGAACTAGTGTGAACCAGCATTTATTATGTGCTAATTTAGGAGTTTCCATTTAGATTATGGTGGACAACTGTGTAAACGTGCTCTGAAAGTCTACTTAGCAAGGTCATGAATTTCGTCAGTGTGAGGTCAATAAATAGGACTTTATTACTTACTTGTAAACTTTATTACTTATACATACTATAGGCCAGTATTTTCCTATATTATGTATGTAAATCAGTCATTTTCTAATTTATGAAATAATATAGACCTATGGTTGCATCATTTAAGCAATCTCCCACTCCAATCATCATCATGCATCTTGCCATCTGCATTCACTTCTTCAATTTTCAAACATCCCTTCTTCAAACTGTCCGGAAGGCGAAGTCATAGTAATTTGAAACTCTGTATAATCATCTTGTACAAGAGTGTGTGATATATCATTAGATCAGTGCAATGTCAGAAAATCGGAATAGAAAGACTAAGAAAAACTTTTTTTTACAGAACATCACGTATCCTCATATCATATTCATGACCTCGAATAAATAAGCTAAGTCTCAATAGATAGATCTAGGCTATATAAGTTATAAGAAATGTACAGGCAATAAATAAACTATTACCTCTTCCAAAAATTTAGTAACATCATAAACTTCGTCGTGTATTATGAGCCACGTTGATTTAGAATTATTGTGTTTAGCAATTTCTTCTAAACGATACACTTTTAACTCAGTCATTGTGTGATTCTAACGTGTAGCTCTTTGTACCGGAAATCATCAATCTTCGCATTGAATTGTGGGTATGGTAAATAACTAATACAAGAATGGGACTGGATCAGACCATAGAACTGTACTAGAACCACGCGCTTTAAAGCTAGATCTATTTCTTAAGGTCATCTTCAGATTTCGTCAAGGTCGCTGAGGTGTAAATAAGGTTTGGACACGTGATTGTTGACGAGATTGTGGGTAAGGGTCTGGGTAAGGGTAAGGGTAAGGATTAGGGCTAGGGCTAGGTCCAGGTCTGGGGTTAGCGCTAGCCCTGTTTATATCTTGTGACCTTTGAACAAATCTGGAGGTAGCCTTAAGAAATAGATCTATATATATATACGTCATTGGATCTAACCTTGTAAGTAAACCTGTTCCGATGTCATATTGAATGATCATCCGATGCAAACCGGCCATGGAAGAACAAACCGGTCAAATTTGATTATTTTTGAAAATAAAAACTGCATTAATGATTTTGTCTACAAATTTAAAATATTAGGCAGGAAAGTTCTCGAATATAAAAAATCTAAACTATTTTTTTAAAAAATTTAAACTGTCTTTAAAATATATATATATAAATAACAAGATTCTCAAATGGGATTTCATGTCAAAATTTTCTCCATGAAAAATTTCAAGACAAATATCTTGGTTTCACGACATAGTTCAGCAGATAGTCTCGGTCATCCAGAACCTCATAGTCTCCAACGTACGTAGGGTCTAAATAAAATATCTTTAAAATATATATAACAAAATTCTGAAATGGGATTTCATGTCAAAATTTTCTCTATGAAAAATCTCAAGACAAATATCTTGGTTTTACGACATTAGTTCAGCAGATAGTCTCGGTCATCCAGAACCTCCTAGTCTCCAACGTACGTAGGGTCTAAATAAAATAAAACCAAGTACGACCAATCCAAACCCTTAGACAAAATTCTAAGTTCTAAAAAACGGTATAGGCAAAATACTAATAGTGTAATCAGCAAATGGACTGTTCACCATATTATAGGGCCTACCAAATACATGATGAACATTGGTAACAATTCTAGGTGTCCGGAAGCGTAAGCGTACCATGACTATACAGCAGAAAGCACTTTGAATCCCATCCTCGGTATCCCCAGGGGTCTCACCCCTTTCTACTCCACTATACCCTGGGTAAATCCATGGGGTTTCCACGATTTCAAATTATACAAAATACATGATGAACATTGGTAACAACAGGTGTCCAGAAGAATAGCGTACCCTGCCTGACAATGCTGGAAATAATTTTCGAATGTGTGTCTGACTCCCTGTCAGACTGGATGTTAACATTCTGCCTGACATTTAAAATTTTGGGTCGGACATAATATTCTGACATTTGGGTTGGCACAATGTCTATCAAGATCTATTCTGTTGACTAATATCTTTTGCGATCCATAGGCGTGAGCCAGGACAATTTAGCTTAGTTTTCGTAACTTTGATCGACGAAATAGGTTTTGATTTGTCACGGATATATAAAAATGTTATCCATTAAATTGCCTTGAATGTCATGATACTTGTGGTAGATACGTGTCGGTCGGGAAATGCAGGGTGCTATTTTTTCTCCGGAATCAAACACGAACACGATGTTAGTGACTGAATGGTAGAGACTATACAGCAGTAAGGCACTTTGAATCCCATCCTCGGTATCCCCAGTGGTCTCATCCCTTTCTACTCCACTATACCCTGGGTAAATCCATGGAGTTTCCACGATTTCAAATTATCTGCCCTGGGCTTGATTGTAGCTATAGTCTACGAACCAATTAAAAAACAGTTTACACAGGGGCGGATCTAGGAATTTTGAAAAGGGGGGGGGGGCGCACTGACCGCGGAGACAGGGCACGCCGCTGCAGAGAGGGGGGTTTGGGGGGGGGGGGGCGAAGAAAATTAGCCGTCATTTCCTTGCATCTGTAGCCATTCCAAGAGTTATTTGGCTGATATTTTCGTCGAAGTAAACGTTCGGAAATCGTTGAATAAAGAGCCTTAAAATCGAGCAAAAAAGCCAGTAGAACATGCGACTCGAAAATTGTCATGGCGAGCGAGGCATTATGATAGGATCAAAGACGAATCTATTCCCTAGCCACTTTGTAACTTGTACTGTGTACTGTCCACACATGAAACAATGCTACATCAAGTTGCACTCATGCGCGTCGTGATGGGCATGAGTGTATACGCCGCCGGGGATCACGTGGCTAAGTGGGTAAGACGCTAGCTCGCTAGCCTGGAGGTCGGGTGTTCGATCCCTGCATTGGCCGAGAAAGTTCATCCAGATTTTCCGGCGTGGTTCTCCCTTGCCAGTGATGCAGGACGGAGGGGCTGACAAGGAAAGCTGTCTAGTCGTTCGGATGGGACGAAAAACCGAGGTCCCGTGTACACATTGGCGTGCACGTAAAAGATCCCTTGGCAGTTGGAATTCGATATAAGAGTAGGCCGTAGTGCCGCTGTCCGGGCAAAATTTCCCTCATAGCACACTGTATGGCGTATGCCCGTCTTCATTAGCCCAGGTTAGGAGCAGAACAGTAGGACGTTAAACTCCATTTCATTTCATTTCGTATACGCCGCCGATTCCACAAGATGCTATCAATGATGTCTGTCTATTGTCACTCTATAGGATTAGGGCACCGCCAGCTAAACAACAAGAATTCGTTTGAAAGTGGAAGCATTAATTAGACCAGACTGGTGTATTTGAGTCGATGGTTTGAGTCATTTGGGATCCCTTCAACGGGTTGGGAACGGACATATTTGGGTCTGAGAAAAGGCACTTTCAGCAGTAAAAAAGGGCACTGTCGAAAATTAGGGGGGGGGGGGCGCCCCTTCCCCCTCCCCTTGGATCCGCCTCATTTACAAACCAGTCTTACTAATGAAAGGCCTTCGTTTTGCGTTCGTTTTTATAGGGGTAAATAACCATATTGATGTCCATTTACTAAATGATTTATGTAAATTATAATGTATATTTTTCTAATTCATTTATATTAAATTTAATTATAGTATCAAATTCTGTGGTATGTTTCGCTGATTGTGGTCGTCGTTTCGATCAATGGTGGGGGCGTAATTATGTGGCTTGGAGACAGGGGAGCCTTCTAAACTTCGTGGGTTGACTTAACCCTGACGTGACTACTGTTGTGTCTCTCCTCTTTAAGACTTCAATGCTGTTTTCTAAATAAGTAACACAGGAACAACAATAGTTTTTCTAAACGTTTTTATGTCACAACTGAAGCAATAGTCTACATTACAATATTTAAAATTAACCTGTCTTTCCCTTAAAACCCCTCCACTCGCAGAGTTAGTTGATGAAAACCTCTACATCTTGGCTCTCTCAGAATCAACAGGTCGTCTGGGAATCAAATGGTCGTCTGAAGATCCAAGCGGTGACTGACTATTCTAGCCGTTGCTATGCTCTTCTATAGATAGGTCCCATGACGTTGCTTTACGTCATAGACTGATAACAGATACTAAATATGGAATAGACATGCACCATATCGGCAGGGATTGTTACCTAATTTGGTCAACAAAAATGATATACGTTTATGACAAAGAAAAATGTAAATGACCAACATGTTAACTTAACAAAAATAACCTGCATTACTTACTATAATTTTTTTTAATTATGAAATTTAGAATCTATAATTCTATAGATTGTTACACATGACATGGGGTGGGGTGGGGTGGGGGTGGGGGTGGGGTCTACGGATTGCCCCTCGCACAAACTCCTATGGGATCAAAATTCTGTTTATAAACTATATGCAATATTGAGACGCAGTGAATACACAACATTTTTATAAATGAATGATTGTCATATTTGGTTTTGTGGGGTATTTTAATGCTATCAGTTTTAAAACCAACAATGCATTTCATTAGTTCCAGTTTTTGAAAGTTTCCTGTTGTCAGATTTCTATAGACGATCCTTGTAGAGTAAGCCAAGGAAAAGATTATTTGCTGTAGTACGCAGATGAATCATAATTTTCATATGCTAGATAAGAAAATTGAGCCCCCCCCCCCCCGAATATTTTGAAAAATAGACGGGGACGCAAACGCGTTTTCCTGCCATTCCGACTCGTATAATAGCAACTAAAGTAGTCCAACTATATGCCTTATTATGCGGTTTTGGAACAGAAATAACACTCTGTGTTCACCTGAATTCCAGATTTTGGGGAAGAGGGGCAGAAATGAAAAAAAGAACCGTTAAGTCTCATCGGAGCCTTGATAGGTTTGGGGTCGCAAATGCGTCTTCCTGCTATTTAATCTCAGCATGGAAGTGATCCAATATAGTTTATATTGTTTTGAAACCGAAGTCACACCCAATGGCCATCTGGCGTTCAGGGCTGGGGCCATTACATTGCCAATGTAATTAATTACATTACTATTACCATTACTTTTTAAATGTAATCATTACAATTACTTTCTCACTTTTAGCATTGTAATTAATTACCATTACAATTACTTTCTCACTTTTAGCATTGTAATTAATTACCATTACCCATTACATTGAAAGTAATTAATTACCATCACCCATCACTTTGCTTTATCACCCAATAATACATTCTACAGTAGATATCGCTTGTGTGATATATTTCATAATCTACTGCGATATTTCCTTAGGAGATATCGCTTTACATGAATCTGATTGGTCAGTTGAAAGGGGACTATTAAAATGGGTTCGTCCGTCTGTCTGTCTGTCTGTCTGTCTAGGGTCTGTCTGTCCGTCACACTTTTTTGGGACACAATAACTCTCCCTCTAATTGACCTAGAATGTTCAAACTTGGTGTAGGTGTTTATTAGGTCAATGCATTGATGGAGTTCGAAGATGAGCATTTTCTGCTTAGGGTAAGCAGAGATAAGCAATTTGATTGGTTGATGCTTTGGGACACGATAACTTTAGTTCCAATTAAGTGAGAGTGATGAAACTTGGTGTATAGTTTCATTACACCAATACCTTGACTAAGTTCGATATTGAGCATTTTCTGCTCGGGGTAAGAAGAGCGATAAGCAATTTGATTGGCCGAGACTTTGGAACACAATAACTCTCCTTCTAATTGAGTTAGAATGTTCAAACTTGGTGTAGGAGTTTATGAGGTCAATGCCTTGATAGAGTGCATGGATGAGCCTTTTCTGCTTATGGTAAGTAGAGATAGGCAATTTGATTGGTTGATGCTTTGGGACACAATAACTTTAGTTCTAATTAAGTGAGAGTGATGAAACTTGGTGTATAGTTTCATTACATCAATACCTTGACTAAGTTTGATGATGAGAATTGTCTGCTTAGGCTAAGGAGCAATTAGCATTTTGATTGGTCAAGACTGTCGAACATAACTTAATCGAGGTAGAATGTTTAAACTTTATGTAGATGCTCATCTTGACTGAGTTCAATGATTAACATATCGAGCTAAAGCTAAGCAGAGATAAGCAATTTGCTTGGTCGTTGCTTTGGGACAAGATAACTTTGATTCTATCTGATAGAGAGTGATGAAACTTAGTGTATAGTTGATAATCAGTTTGATTGCTCGATACTTTTGAAAAAAATAGATGTGCGATTAATTAATATGTGTCATCTATTTATTTGGGGATTTCGGCGGGGGACATCAGCCTTACTGTTGGCTTGTTATTTTCAAAGAACAGTTCATTTCTTATTTAAAGTAACTTTTTTTTTTTATTAAAAATGAACTATTGTTATTCAATTGACCTTGATGGAAACACTGGGTCAATATAAAGGACTTTGCAATGGTTGAATTGCTGTCAAAAAATGAGGTATCACTACGCCATAATGTTCAGTAAAAGTTAAATCTACAACAAAGAATTATATTTATCTATTTGTGCATGTAAGAAGGGATTGGGTGATAAATAAAATCTCCTACTCGTCTTTTTTGATATCAAAAAATATCAACACTCGTTGATAAAGTAAAAAATACTCGGCAGAGCCTCGTTTTTTGTTACTTTATCAACTTGTATTGATATTTTTTAATATCAAAAAAGACTGGTAGGAGATTCTCTCTCTCTCTCTTTCTCTCTCTCTCTATATATATATATATATATATTATGCCCCCAAAATCAAATATCCCCTACTTTTTTTGAATAGTATATGTTCCTATGAACATATATGTTCCTATGAACATATATGTTCCTATTTCTATGAAAAATGTTTTATATTTATATATATATATATATATATAAAAAAACATTTTTCATAGAAATTAAAAAGACAATCTTATATTTCTGCCATGAAGCGCCTACAAAATCAAAATCAAAATAATCTTTGATACACTATAATAGGAACATATACTATTCAAAAAAAAGTAGGGGATATTTGATTTTGGGGGCATAATACTAAAATATGCAAATGACTACGAAAAAAGTCACTATAGAACCTAACAGAAGAAACATTTCCAGTTACATGTGACGCCCAAACGCACCAATAGCTACCGCATGGAATGCAGGTGATGCTTGGGATCATCATGGGGGTCCAACCCAAGATTTGCACGACTCTGACTTTGAATGTTACAGTCATTGTGGCATTGAATTCCAGGGTGGAAACATCAGTTTAATTGTTTTAGTGACCAGAAAACAAATTTTGATATGCGTCGGCTTACCCAAAATGAAAGGTTACGTGCCCTTGGCATGCTACAGATCGGCACAACACAGGCGGTTGTGGCGCGGACGATGAATGTTTCTCAGTCTGTCATAAGCAGGCTATGGTCCAGATACCGTGATACACAATCTGTACAGGACAGACCACGCTCAGGTCGACCAAGGGCGACAACTCAAGCCCATGATCGATTTATCCGTACCTTGGCCTTGAGAAATCGTGTCATCATAGCAAATCAGATCAGCGCTCGTCTTCAAACAGACACTGGTGTGAGAGTGAGTGGCCAGACGATTCGGAATCGACTGCATAGGGGTCACCTTCGCGCCCGACGTCCTCGCGTGATCCCTTGTTTGAGAGATCATCACATTCAGGCAAGACGTCGTTGGTGTAGGGATCGTCAACACTGGGATAATCGACGCTGGAGCAATGTGATGTTTTCAGATGAGTCAAGGTTCACTGTTGATTTTTTGGACAGACGTAGGAGGGTGTGGCGTCGTCGAAACGAGCGCTTCCAAGACGTTAACGTCATCAGACATGATCGATTTGGGGGTGGTTCTGTTATGGTGTGGGGAGGCATCACTGTTGCTGGAAGAACGGCTTTACATGTTGTTGCAGGGCGTGTTACAGGCCAGTACTACCGGGACAACATCTTGGCAGTCCATGTTGTGCCGTTCGCACGACGTCATGGCCGCCGTTTCATCTTCCAGGATGACAACGCAAGATGTCACAGGGCCAGGATCGTTACAGGTTACCTCCAACAACATAACATCACCACATTACCTTGGCCAGCACTGAGTCCCGACCTCTCCCCCATCGAGCATGTCTGGGACATGCTTGGACAGAGGTTACGTCAACGTCAACAACGTCCTGCCAATGTCCAAGAACTTGCTGCTGCGTTGCAACAGGAATGGGACAATCTGGACCAAAATGACCTTAGACGTCTCATTAGGAGTATGCCACGTCGGATCAATGCTTGTTTTGCAAACAGAGGAGGATTTACCCGTTACTGACTTGGTTGTGATGCTGTGGTAACTTTGCTGTTTGACCCCGGGTATCATTTTACCTTTCATTTTGTCATTTGTTTCTTCGTCAGTTTCATTAGGTGACTTTAATAACACTTAAAAATCAAATATCCCCTACTTTTTTTGAATAGTATATATAGGAGGCTTCTGAAATTTTGCAGTCTATATAAGTAGGCTAATCCCTTGATTCCGTGAAATAAAAAAACATTTTGCCACCAAAGTTTGAATATTGATGCAAAGTGGACGTACCCTTTTTTACAGCCTAGTTTGCTATATGTTATTGTGTGTACGGTGATAATGGGTTTTTGCGGTTCCTTTTTGTCTGTCATATACATATATTAATATCTTGATAAATATTAAAATAATACAGGGTTTTATTGGCGCTAGGAATATGTTTGCTAACACCATTTCGAATTCGTGTGAGAGATCCCACTCGGTAACATTAAACCCCAATGATTCCATTATAAATATTTAGAATATTTGATCTACTTGTGAACTTTATATTTACTTCTTTTTTTTTTCGGTTACTGGTACCAGTGGCGGATTAAGCTCCACCAAGGCCTGAGGCGGCAGTTGCTGGAGGGCCTATTTAGTTTTTAAAGTTAGAGCCAAGGCAGTTGCTAACATTAAAAACGTAATGTAACTTTATATGCCCATAAATGACGTCACGTGGATACAATATATTAAGCAAGACATAACCGAAAACTTACAAGGATTTAACGTACATTGTAGGCCTACGTTTAAAAAGTAAGTTCAGATCTCCAAACAATAGGGCCTATTTAAAATGGCGTGGGCCTAATTAATTTCGGGTCAGGGCCTATATGTTGATTCCCGTTGGGCCTAAACCCCATCCCCCTAACATTCATTGTCTATGCGTTTTTAATCGTATCAGACAATTCGAAAAAAATTTTTTTTTACAAAATCTTTGGGCCTGAGGCTGCAGCCTCATCAGCCTCACTGATAATCCGCTACTGACTGGTGTGTTAACTTGTATCCGTCTTTATTCGTTTCGCATTGGCCCAGTTGTATAGGACGTTACAAATGTAAGCAATTAGGCGAAATCCTTTTCTTTGAAAGGTGGAAAAAAGAAGCCGATTAATTTCGTCACTAGTCGAATTTTATATAGACTACGCATATAAAAACGTGAAGACGCAATAAAGCTAACGAATGAATGTTTATCATTCAAGGGTCGGATCAATCGGTTTATTATTATCTCACACATTCTCAGCCAATCAAATTGAAGTGAAGAAGACCTGCCCACTTTCGAACCAATCAACGAGGAGTAGTGTGGAATGGCGTGAAGGTCGACTTATTGCACGCTAAACCGAACAACGTCGACAGATAACGGAACAATTTCTCCTGAAACACACAGGTAAGCCCAGGTATTCTCTTTTATTGCTGCATTTTAACATCATGACATTTTTCAAAATCCATCACATAACACGCATAGATATCAAAAGTTCAGTTTGGATCGACTGTCAAGACTGATTTATGGAAATGTTTAACAGAAATCTACTCTGAACTGACTGAAAATTAGTCGTGAAAATGTCACCCGATTTTTAGAGGTCATTATTCCAATGAAGGGTTCAACACATAATAATAAGAATAAAATGTTTGGTTCAAAACTTTATTTATGAATTAAATTTCCACTAGTGTCTTTTTTTCTTTCTTTTTCTTTATGTTTCACCATACCATTGTTTTATCATTGATTAAAATAATAATCTAGATTAGATAGAGTATTAATATAGGATAGCCTAACCATGCATTAATTGGCTAAAATAGTTTATTTCATGCAAATATACCGGTATTGAATATTAATTGTATTCACAAGTAGAAATATAGTATGCATGGGGCCCCATGTTACTGTCTAACATGTGCATATATCAAAACATAATTAAAAAGTCATTTTAAAATGACATTAAAATTTGTTACACTATGCTGCAATTTACAAACTGCAAGTACATATTTAAATTATAAAAGCAAAAACAAATCTGATTGTGAGCCCCATGTGGATTGTAAAGGCCCTATAAACTAGATACAGCTTGTTATAAAGCTTTTCTTAATTATTAGTACATGTTATTAGTACATGTATGCCATGGTCTTTAAAAGTGTCAGACCTGTCACCTGTTCCAGCATGACAAACTGTGTTATTTTTTTGAATGCTGTTTGTTGTTATTACATAGTTTACTGACATGTTTAATTTATGAGGCATTTTTTAAGTATCAATTAAACAGTCACAGTTAGAGATTAAGTCATTTATTTAGGTTATTCTTTGTGGGCAATTAAAAATCTGTGCTAATGAGCTTATGTAATTTATCTATTTGAATTGACTAATTAATCAGGATTATGAGGTTAAAGATAATCATATATTGTTTGTTTGAGTTATAGAAAAGCATTATTACAATTTTATTTTTTAAATCCATTTTGATTCATGTTTTTCTTTTCGCAGTGGGGGGGTTGGATGGACAAATGGTTAGTGCATGTGCGCTGTATCATAAGGTCTGTCATTGAGTCAACTGGCACGGTTTCGATTGTCCAGTTGCCCGTGACAAGGAGTAGAGTCGTGGGTTTTCTCCGGGTCCTCCAGTTTCCTCCTACTGCGAAAGACCCCTGCGCTTAATCCTGAACTTTCTATATTTGAAAACCAGCATTCTATAAGACTTGCTCACAATCAAATTAACCCATTCTTTTTTTCAGAAAATATTTTCCCTTCACTTCCATTACTCGTAATTAATTGTCTTCCATCTTTGAAAAATGTCTACGAAGATGAAGGAAGCAAAAAAATGGAATGTTTCTTGTTCTCATATGGCTGAACAATCTGTTAACCCCATTCGTAACTTGGTTGACAGTATGCACATTACACCAAATCCTGACAAAGATATGATTGCACTGTCAATAGGTTAGTAGTTTGTTTTATATCTTATATATGTACTTCTTACGAAGATAAGCAAACATCATATCCAAGGATGAGTTTAGGTAATAATGACACAGTGAAATGTCAAAGGTAATAATGACACAGTGAAATGTCAAAGGTAATAATGGCACAGATAAAAAGTGCACAGGTGGAAAAAAGAGAAATGAAACAACAAATGAAAAAAAAATACGCAATGTTTAAACATAATTTAATCAAAATTATACTAATCATTCCAAATAGAAGCAAGAAATTACCAAGTCCAATCTGATTACAAAAATTGTAATTCCATAAAAATTCATAAAAAAATTTAATTGTAATCTAAATTTAATGATATAATGTCAGTGACAGTATAAATTGCATTTGTACACAAATATATTTTTACATTAAACATATCAATAAAAGAAAAGCAAAACAGAGTAATTGTGGCCTGAAATAGTCAGTCACAGATGGCTTATACCCAGGCTTGGTTATCACTCATTAAAGATTTTTGAATCTCTGATTGTCTTTTGCAAAGGTGTTTTATCTGGTTACAAGTTTTGCACAATCATTGTTTTCAATATATTATATTTGCAAAATTTATAGATGCTTTATTGTGTAAAATTTATACTAACAAGGCCTAATGCTGCTCAGGCAAATTTTTTCATGCTGTTTACATCTATTGCTTTTAGTGACCCAAAATAAATGAAACTAGAGGACTAATGATCCTTAAATGAGAACAAGTTAAACATACATTATGCAAGAGCTAAATCTGCCAATTGCACGTCTTCTTTAGGCCTGAAATGTTATCTAAATGATTAATTAGACATTAATTAACATATCCAGACCATATCAACTCTCGATGTCATCGCTAGCCTGTGATATTTACTGGATTAGAATCCTATCTGCCGCACAATGCTCATTGATATTTAAATCAAAAAATGGATAATCGAGACTATGTTTTTTATCGTACCGACTTTAGTAATGATGATCGAGGCTAAGCCAAAAATTCAATCGCTAAATTCTTGGTTCAGAGTGGATCAATTTCACTGAAATTTTCAGCAAATTGCCTTTACATTATCTAGTTTTTAACTATTATAATGAGAACTGACAGCTCTTTATCTAATCTCCCATAATGTATCTTTAAATAGTCTTAATTTTATGGCATCTATGCCTCCTCCTCTATCGTCAACAGAATAGTAATCTTTTTTATACATTACCATAATGGAAAGGTTCCTTATTTGTTTGATTTATTATGAAAGAGTACTTTATGCTAAAAAGTAGGCCAAAGCAATTATTGTGACTCTCCCTCACCCCTATCTGCATGTACTGACAAGACTACACTCTCAATTCAATAACTCAAATAGCTCAAATAGCTACTTTCTTGAAAATTACAGTGCCTTTTTTTCCACATATTTTTTTAGGAGATCCCACTATATTTGGAAATCTACCATACTGTGAAACAGCCGAGAATGCTGTAATTGAAGCTATAAAAGGCAGAAAATCAAATGGTTACACAGCTTCAGTAGGTTAGTATAATGGATGTACATGTATCTTAATTAGCTTATACATCCTTTTATGTATAATTTTTTACAGCAAAGAAGCCATTATTACTGATGTGCTTCAGTTATATTTATGAATTCAAGTATTGAAAGTTAACTAAGTACAAAGTTTGTACGGGTACTTGAAACATATTACAAAATTTTATATTTTAATTTGAGGTTATGAGAGTGCAAGAACTGCTATAGCAGAATATTCATCTACACCCACATCAGAAGTTTCAGCTAAGGTATGTAAAATACTCTTTGATTGGGTAATTTTGGGGATAGATTAATGGACTTCTTTGCTTAATCTTATCTGTGGAATCACAGTGAGTAAGTCAGTGTTAAACATGCCACATTTGATGCCAGCATTGGTCGAGAAAGTTCCTTATTTTTTCCTGCATCATTTTCCCTTGTTAGTTGTGCAGAATGTAGGACTTGGCCAGGAACAACTTCTAGTCAAAAAAACATGCTTCTGTGTACAATTTGACGCACACATATGAAACTTTGACAGATGCGTAGGGGGTTAGCTGTCTGGGCATCATGTCTTTCATAGCATGGCATATGCCCATGTTCATTAGGGAAGTTGGTGCAGAAAAGAAGAATGTTAAACCCCATTTCATTTTGATCATGTCTGATGTGTTATTTTGATTGCAGATGCAATGAATTTACCATTTTAATTTTGCCCTTTCAAATCATTTGTTGCATTATTTTATGTATGGTTTTTGCTTTGGAGCTGAAATCATATACATGTAGTTGTAGAATCAAATTTTGTGAAATTTTAAATGTCACACTTTAGATGTAACAAAACGACATATGGCTCAGGTTTTATTATAGATATATTAATTACATTAGCATTTATGACATTTGGCATTTAATCTCAATCAAATCATTAAGTCTAGATTAATCTAGATATGCTGATTGCTGTCTAGAAGGTTTTATGAATTATGTTAATTTTAAAATCTATAATTTAATATCATTTCAATTATTTATGCTCATGATTTGTGATAAGGATTGAGAAGATACAAAATGTATATTTTATCAGTATTTAATAATGTGGAGCAAAGCTAAATGCAATAGCTATTTCCATAAGCTTACACCCACATTTTGTTAGACTGTTTTGTAATCAACATCATCTGTCCATACGGATGGCCATTCCCAATTATAATAAACACTGCATAGGTCAGAGTTTGGGGGATTTTATTTCTAAACTTGACTAAACACAAAATTGAAATTTAGAGACAATAATCAATTGGAGATTGCCCCTGCCTCTGAAATATGTAAACACCGAAAAAGACCAAGGATTGGCTTGGTAATGCACAGACTTTTTCTATTTCTTCGTTTTCTCTTATCTAGTGACATTCAATTATTTTTTTGAATTGTCAGATATCCTCCCACAGTCTCATATAACAACTTTTGGTCTTCTAAGGAATTATTTCTGAGCAGAAATTCGTCCATGTATCTGTTATCACTCATCACTTCAGCAGTCATTATTTTTTGTATTTTAGAGGAGAGCCAAAAAAAGCTCTCCTTTATGAACAAATTGAAAAAATCACTCCCCTAAAAAAAGCTCTCCCAGTTTCGATAAGAAGAGTGATTTAGAAATTAAGGAGAGTGATCTGATATTAAGGAGAGTGAATTAGTTGTATGTATATGGAAAATGCTTCTGAAGATCAATAACTGCGCGTAAGGTGTCATTCCTGATTACATAAATGATAATAAACATCGTCTGCTAAATAATAGCACTCGTAGTCGTACGGTCAAGTCAAACTTTTACCATCGTCTAAAACTACTTACGGTATTCCAATAGAAATACTTGTCGATAAATATTTATTGCTTGTATAAATTTGGGTTAAAAACATAACCCATATATTAAAAAAACCCTCGAAAATTCCATCGAAATATAATCTATTTATTCCGGATTTATTCTCAATGAGAATTTTAACGTGCCATTTCTCGTAATTTACAAATAAGGAGAGCAGGGACCGTACAAATTAAAAACATTTATTTTTTCATAAAATTTTGTCATTTCTCATAAAATTATCATAAAATGGAAAAATATCATAAAAAATATCAAATTACACTACTTGTCATCAAATGAGAAGAAAAAATTTTCAAAATATAAAATTAACCATGAATCGCTACTCCAAATAATAGATTTCTATACTAATAAATTAGGATGTGAATAAGTAAATCATCCAGGTATTTATGACCCCAGCTTGTGGCTCTCTTAAATTTTCTATTTGACAGTGTTCAGTCAATGTTATGTGGGTATATTAACACAGGGCCCTCACATAAAAACATCATAAAAATCATAAAATTACACTACAAACTTTCATAAAAATATAAATTTTTGACAAAAATCTGTATACTGTCCACGGAAGAGCAATTTTCAGTTTTAAGGTGGAGGAGAAAAACTTCCCCTCTGTTGACATTCTGGTGCGCTGCAGGGCCCACAAGTGATCACGCACCGCAAAAAACAATGACAGCTTCAGTCAGTTTCCTTTTGCGTTCGTCACTTCCCTTTCTTGAAATCTTCATAACGCATCTATCGTAGCAATGATCCCTGTGTTAAAATTATATTTGGAATGTGTTTAACCAGTTCTATCGCATATGTGGTAATGACTGACACCTATATTGTCCTTTAAGAAGAAACCTTGTCAAAATTGTGTGGTTGGTCAATAAGAAGAATTCTGTTGGAATTACTGATATATACATTCAAAACAGTTGAAATATCTTGCAATATTCATTAAACAGTAGATGTACATGGAGTTGGGTTTTTTTTTCTTAAGCAAAAGGTGAATAACCGTCACTGTTGTTCTTAAAATATACATTGAAGGTTAAATATGATAATAAGACGCTAGCTCATGTCACATGAATGAAATAAGTGACACATTACTAAAGACAGTTTGATAAGAGAGTATATTACATTTTATACACATTAATAGGAAGTGTCAGATCTCTCTCACTAAATGAACTTCCACACAACCCAACTAGGCCACTTTGTGAATAATTTTCAGTGACATTTTATTATTGGAACTGGATATACACAGGACACAATTCAACGAAATACAATTACTGCTTATTGCTTGATGTCTTGGTACTAGAAGTCATAGTTTTTATCAAGCAAACTATTTACTGCTGGATAAATACTATTACAATTCAAAATTTTACCAAGCAATACAGTAAATGGTAATTAATCCAATTATGTTTTGTGTATATATGATATATCTTTATTTCAATAAAATGGTTTACATTCAAAAAAAGGTTAGACATAAGACTCTGCCATTTTCCAATGTTTCAAAATTGATGCTTAATATCCGGGGTCAACCTTTTACGGTCTATGTACCAAATATTACATCTACAACTTCAGATATGCCATATAACTTAAAAAGATTAATTAAGGATAAAATTAAATAGAAACATTATTTACCATAATGAGACTTTTGATTATATTTTAATATTGCCAATGGTTATTTTTTATATTGGGTGCAATTATTTTCATAGGGTGCAATGTGTCACTTGTGGCACTTGTGCCATAGATGGCCAACCCTGCTTTAGACCATTCACCCTGCTCTACAACATGAAATATTCATACAAGATTGAATATACTGAGATTGTCTCAAGTTTTGGACCTTGCCTCCCATTTTCCAGTGTTATCTAGAAAGGTTTAGTCTGTTCAGTGATTACTTTAATTCTGTATATTTCAGGATGTGATATTGTGTAGTGGTTGTTCCAGTTCTTTAGATCTGTGTATTAGTTGTTTAGCTAATCCTGGCCAGAATATATTAATACCATTACCCGGATTTTCTATATATAAAACATTAGCTGAATCACTGGGCATTGAAGTCAGACATTACAAATTATTGGTAAGTTTAACAATATTTCAGTCCAAGCAACTGCACTTGACAGGGTATGCTTACTCCATCTGGAACACCTGATACCAATGAACTTGTCGCTGGTATATATGCATGATTTCTTTGTTTTATTGTTCAGTTTGATAGATTAAAATTACTGATACAAATTTTGAAAAACACATAATGATGCAGAATTCAGACAAATAAAACTATGGGCCAAAGCTAATTTTTTTTCTTATTTTTCAGCCTGAAAGAAGTTGGGAGGTAGATTTAGATCATATTGAGGAGTTGATAGATGATAATACAGCATGTATTATAGTTAATAATCCATCTAATCCATGTGGATCAGTGTACAATAAAAAACATCTACAAGATATACTAGAAATATGTCAACGTAATAAACTCCCTGTTATTGCTGATGAAATTTATGAACATTTTGTAAGTATTTTTAATTTCGGAACATTAAGCATGTTTTACAGTAATTTCTGAACATGTAGGGTGTATTGCAGTCATTTCTGAACATTTATCATGTATTACAGTAATTTCTGAATATGTAGCGTGTATTGCAGTACATTCAGAACATTTAGCATATGACAGTAGTTACATGTAAGTATATGTGAAGATGGCTATAAATCAATTGGTTATAAATCAATTTGAATTCTTTTCAGGGAAAGAGCATTCTAATCTTCCCGAATGTTATCACAGGTATGGGCAGTTGATGTACAGTACATGTATTTCCACTAAAGTGACATTTATAATGTGGAAATAACAGAAATTGATTATAAATCAAATTAAATTCTATACAGCGAAAAGCCCATGCCACATTCCCATACCTTCCCCAAAGGAATAGGTGATTGATGTACAGAACATGTATTTTTGCTATTAATTAAACTGTATTTTTGATGTTAAGGAAATCAAACTCCAAGTCGTTAAGAATAAAATAAATGGAAATGAAACATTATACAGCAAAAATATAATAACTATATTCCATCAGAGCAGGGCTTCCACTTCAAAATTTTCACTGCCGGTCATTTTTGATAACGCACGAAATATTTCATGTTTTTTATTGATGGTAGGGTATTGTGAATTCACGTGTCTATAACACTTTGTCAGCATGGGGTACACAAAAAAATATATATTGGACTTAAAAATGAAATATTAGTAAGGCTTATAATAATTATTTATTAATTAAATATTCTGTTTTGGCTACTTAAATAACGAAATAGCTGTTAATTGGCTGTAGAAAAACCATTTCAGTAGCTCACACGTAATTACCACATGCTCTATAGAAAACACACTGACCTGGATAATTTTGAGTTGTAATACAGTATCTTTGAAATGAAGATAAATATATAATTATCCACAGCATATTTCTCACATTTATTGGTTTTAGACTATCTCTTACGGAATTACGAGCCACAGAGTGTATTTATTGTTATTTTAGCAATAAAGCTAAATCATCTCACCTACAGTACGTATGACCACATTGTACATCAGGTTCTGTAGATGATTATAATTACCCAGTATCTGTAGTGAAATTGACATATTTGGAAATATTATATAGCCTAAACCCAACAAAACATGCTATTGTTGCCAATGCTGTATTTAGAGAGAGAGTGAGAGAGAGAAATTGGGTTTAAGTTCAACTTGGCATAAACTATGTCATTTTGGTACAATTTTATTTTAAAAAATTATCTTGTGCATAAGGGTCTTTAAGTTTAGCAGTGTGAGGAAACCAGAGGATCTGGAGAAACCGAAAAGCTTCGGGTGGTAAACCTACTCCCTGTCACAAACAAGTGTGGGATCGAAACCATGCCACTGTATGACAGACCTTATGATCTAAAGCCTACATGTTAGACTATTCAGCCACCCAAACACCATGATATATATATATAACTGGATAATATGCTGAATACGTGCATGTATAGACAGTGATCTTGTCATGTTCAACTGAATATTTGTTTAAATGATTGACCTGCCATATTGATTTAACCTCAATAACATTGACTTGTTGAAATATTTAATATTCTGACGTTGTTCTTTTTTCATAAATAATTATTGTTTATTTATAGGTATTTTCTGGTGCTAAGTATTATCCTTTGGCTTCATTAACAGATTCTGTACCAATATTGTCATGTTCGGGACTAACAAAGAGGTAAATTTTCTCAAATTGATTTTGTATTTAAGAAGTGTACTTACACAATAGGTAGAACTAAATGATTTCCCCCAGGTGTTTAGAATTCAGTTTGAAGAAGTGTATGGCTGTTCTTATTTATGATTTAGGGCAACCAGACATAAATTACTGTTTTGTCTAAATAAACAAATATTGTTGTACAAAGAATAGAGATGCAAAAATATAATTAATAATTATACATATTATGTACATTTGTTTGTTTTAAGAACAACATTTGTTTGTTCAGAAATCTTTTACACTGTATCAGCTTTTAGTAATGTTGACCTCATTTTACTCCCCTGATCATGTCATTTACCTTTTGATTCACATAGACTGCAATATGAAAGAATTTTAGTATTGTATCAATACTTATGTTATTGTAAGAATGGTAATTTTAGGCATTAGCAAAAAGCATTTAGTTTTATGCTTGCCTGCCCATTCACAATTACTTGTACATGCTGTACTACAGACTTGAATTTATAAGATTAAAAACAAATTGCTGGTATGAATTGTTGTGTGATATAGTGCACATATTTTAATCTATGATTGATTGGAGGAACCTAAGGCCTATTGAATCATGAAGTTATTACCAGCAACATTTACATTTTGATTTCTAAACCCTATGTGATTTGTTATTCATCTTTAATTTAAGAGAGAAACCGAGCCTTATATACATTTGTCCCTAACAACAAATAAATTGAACCAAATTATTTTTAAAATGCTGTCTGTTAATTAGCTCAGACCTAAAATCTGTGTTAAGTCAATGAAAAGACAGAACCCTTAAAATATTTTGGTTTAAGGTCGGAGGCTATCCGAAAATTTTTATTTTGAAATGTTAAATCTATTGAATTGAAAATAGTACAAGTAGTTAGGAAATGTAATAAACAAGGGAAAACAAGTATAAAAAAAAAGTTGTTGCCAGGGTAACACATTTTTGGGGAAAAAATTATGAAAAACGTAGGTACACTATATTTCTGTAACTAATTAAGATATCCTCACCAAATTTGCAGGATATATAAACTAATATCTACCACAGAATCAGACAGAAAGCAATTTGAATTATCATTAATATTTCAAAAATTATAAAAATATTTCTCCAAAGACAAAATATTGTGGTGAGGCAAATGTTTTAAACACCATTTTCCAAGAAACTATAAAAATTATAGAGAAAATCTCTCTGCCTGCTTTTGGAGTTACCATTAAAGAATATGCAGTCCTAAAATGAGACATTTATCTTTATTAGTGCTAGAGATATGGGGTACCTACGTTTTTCATACTTTTTCAACAAAAAAAGTGTTACCCTGGTAACAACTTTTTTTTCTTTATTTTTAATGTTAGTTTTCCCTTGTTTATTACATTTCCTAACTTCTTGTGCCATCTACAATTCACTAGCTTTAGAATTTCAGAAATCATTTTTCGGGTACCGTAGCCTCATCCCTTAATTTTCTGAATTACCGAAAGCTTGATTCATAGAAAGTTATATTTGGTTAAATATGACTATTGAGCTCAGAAACATGAATTACAACCACAGTAGAAACTAATGTCATTGACTTTTATAAATTTTCATAAAAATAACAAATATTGATATTAATCTAGGTATATTTATGCTGTGAGAGTTTTAACTAGGTCAGCAGATGTGAACTATACAATATTTCAACCCACATCGTGTTCTATGATATATAACAATTCAAACATTTCCTTACTTTCATTTTTAGACTAAACAAAAAAATATTCTGGTTATCAAACAATCCTTACCAATTAGAATAAAAATTCATGTGCAATGGGTTTGGCCAACTTGAAAATATCTAAGACTGTTGTGCATTTGTTGGTTTTATTTTAGATTTCTGGTACCCGGATGGAGAATGGGCTGGGTTATTGTACATGACAGGAATGATATCCTGAAAGATGTAAGTTGAACTCTACATAATCTTGATAATCTTGTACAGTTAGCCCAATTTGTATATATCATGTCCAGTTTACAATTTAATGATCCTTAAATTCTGTTTCCTACATACATTGACTCAGGGACTCTGATCAAAGATTTGATCCAATAACCACGGCAGGATTATGGACAATTAGAAAACTAACATTTGGTTAGGAAAGCCAACAATTAGAGAACTAACGTTTGGTTACATTGGGAAATCCAACAATTAGAGAACTAACATTTTATTGAAAACATCCACTAGTCTATGGGGTCCACATATGACAATTTCTGATTTTTTGTCTATATTGTCCTTTGCAGATAAAACGAGGATTGGTGAAGCTTTCACAGAGAATACTTGGACCAAATACTTTAGTACAAGCAGCTATTCCAACTATATTAAAAGAGACACCAACAGATTTCTTTACAGAAACACTTGTACACATGAAGGTAAAAACGCTACATAGCAAGATAGTCATAGCAACATTTAATACTTTTTAGATAAAACCTAACTATCATGCATTTTGGTAGACATAGACTGAAGAGTTATGGTAAAAACTTTTGAGAAACTATTGTGGTCATTGATGTTTAACAATATACCCATATTAAATTTACGACATGATGGAAATACACTTTAATGTTGCTTTTAGGGACAGTTCTAGATGTTCGTATGGATGAAAGTCAAAGTTTTCTTTCTTCAATAATTATTTATAATTTCTTTTCAAGATATAACTAAAGTTAATACATTCTTTTGGGGTTTAAATTTTCAAAGATGAACTTGTCATTTATTTTCAGAATAATGCTGATACGTTCTATTCCCGTTTGTCTGCAATAAATGGTTTAACACCAGTAATGCCACATGGAGCTATGTATATGATGGTAAATAAAACTATATACATTATTTGTTATTCTGTATCAAAACCTTTAAATATACATCTACACTCAAAAGTGCTACTATATCAATGCATAATTTTCTGTCTATTTAGAATGCATTTAATTTACTGGCCAATCCAATAACTGGCTTTAGATGGTTTGACAATTTTATATTTAAATAGATGCAGTGGCGTATTTAGCCTAAGTTTCAATCATACTTTTAGAGTTCAGGTTAATCCGATTACACTGTTATTGTTTGTTAAAGCATTATTTGACCAATCATAATTTGGCACAGAAAAATTATTCAACCATGTGTTGATAATTTAATAAATGGAATCCAAGCATGGTCGAAGAAGGTTTTGAATATTTGTCCAAATGTGTTGGCAAGATTATTGGAATCTGAAGGAAAATTATAGATTTGAAACAAGAAAGTGTTAATGCTTTCACTACATTTTATTTTCACTACTAGGTTGGAATTGATATAAAGACATTTCCAGAATTTCCAACAGATATAGAGTTTGTTGAAACTTTGGTCAAAGAACAGAGTGTATTCTGTCTTCCCGCAAGTGTAAGTAGTTAAGAGTGTATAATAAATTTATTACAAAGATTCTGTTAAATCTTGAATATATATTTCTATGAATCATTGTGTAGATAAAAGTGGCTATGAAGACCTGGTTGTCCCAAATGTCAGTGACTATTTTTGTTTGAATTGAAATCTTTAGACTCATTATCCGCTTCCACCTTGGCTGATATCGCACACAAAATAGGACTCATGTGGTGGACTTTTATTTATACTATTCCAAAACCCCAAGGGGGTTTCCATGGTCACAAATTGGCAGAGTTACCGGGGTTGGCCTCTTGGCTGGATTTGCGAATTTATTAATGGGGTCTTTAGCTCGCTTGCTGGGGTTGTACAGACAACTGACTGATGTATTAGTGTCCATATTTGTGCTAACTAAGATGTGTTCGATTGTGACATTGTTACATGTCATAATAAAAGGATATTATATAAACAAGGATGTTGAGGTAATACCTGTGAGGGGCTTGTTATAGGGTTAAATATAAATCTGAAGTTGGAACACCCAGAGTTGTAGAGTAACATACACGATTTTTAACCAGCATAGGAACTGCTATTAATCTGGGACCTGTTATCAATCATTTCTAAAGGGTATCATATAACATCTTCTAAAATAGCATTATTTTCTATGTGACATACTAATGTTCATGTTAATACAGTATCCTGTAATGGTCAGCAGATCTACTTATACAGTATGGTCAAAAACATTCTGATTGGAAGTTTTTGTGAACTTGCTAGAAGACTGATATAAATGAATAGATAGAGGCATGGCTTAGTTGAGAATTGAAAGCTGATAAGTTTAGCGATGTTTTTGACCTTACCTATAAATTGAGTTTATTGTTTTGTTTCAGTGTTTTCAGTATCCCAACTTTTTCCGTATAGTGCTAACAGTTCCTGAAACAAAGGTGGATGAGGCTTGTAATAGAATACAAGAATTTTGTAAGAAATATTATGCTGCACCGAATGGTATGAATGGTCATGCATAAAGTATTCTGTTTCAAACAGATGGTGTAAAAAATAAATCTTTAATATTCAGTATTTTGGTACCTGCTTATAAGTTTATGTAAAAAAGCAGTTTTAGATAGCCCCTTGATCTGATAATCAATATGTTGAATAGGATATCAATACTTGATCTCAAATATTTTTGTAGCCAGCATTGGTACATGCTATTCAGGTACCATAATCATGATCTGTATCTTAATCTTTAGGAAATTTAAATTCCTTTTATATTATATTCATGTAGCTCATTTGAAAAAAGATGTAATTTTATTCCTGACTGTTATTTTAGTGATAATTAATTTTAAATTACATTGTGTTGAGATACTAAAATGGAGGGGGGAGGGAAATGTAGCAATTGTGTATAAATAACCCATTTTAATCCATAATATTTGACTTTGTGCTTCCTAATTTTATTGATTTAATATATTTTTCTCTACTAAAAATATTATGAATGGTTGTGGAGTTATTGTTAAATCTTTGTGCCTTATACTGACAAGTATTAATATGACAAAGTATTAAAGATATAACTTCATAATTTATTGGTGCTCAATAATCCTTTTCTTTATATAAATTTAACAGAAAATAAGGCTATAGTAATCTAGACCTTTAAAACAAGATCACTATTGATAGAAATAAATGATCTGTTAGGTGTTTAGTAACCATAAAGATTTGAAGTGTGAATTTGTCAGAAAGTAGTGTGAAATTCAGATGATTGTAACTTAGGATTGATCAAGTTTAGTAATTTTTGGACAAATGAGCTTTTTAATTAAGACAACTAATTATTGTGTATGTTATGAGAGTCTACCTTTTATCATTACGGAAGTGCCTCAATTAAGTATTCTTTTAAAATTATATGCAAATTTACTGTTTACAGAAATATAAAAAGAAAAATTTGAATTTTATTAGATTATGGTAGCTAATGATGATTTGGTCACCTCACTATAGAATATTCATTTATTAAAGCAGCTAATATCTACAATTATTTATTTGAATATTTAATCATATTATACTCTCATACTACAAAGAGTGTATTAGCTTTAATATTATTATCAGTATAGCTTTAGGTTTAACTTTTGTTAATTAATATTATATATATTGTGTTGTTAAGTTTTGTTTTAAATAAGATAACTATGAAGGATAATAATTAAACGAAACAATAGGTTTATTCCAAGTTTGTGTGCAAATTCAAAATTTTCAAAGAACTTTGTTTTGTTAAGACAGGGATAAGAGAACAATATAAAAGATAATGACTAGTGAAATATTGTTGATACCTCATGTGTATGTAAATTAGCGATTGTTATTCATATAACTGTGTTGTGTTATATTATGTTCCGTCTCTAAATGTCATTCAAAGATTATAATAAAAAAGATGTTTTTATCAACCAATTGAGGTGTTAAGAAAAGCAATTGATATTTTGTCTGTCTTATATTAGAACATCATCATAATCTAGTATTCCAGTATACTCAAACAATGTGTTTATGACAGAGGGTAAATATTATTTATCATAAATGTACATATGCTTTAGCTAACCTAATGTCAGCTAAATAAAGTATGTTGACAAATTAAAATGTATTTAATTGAAAAAAAAATGAAGAAAATTAATAACAAACAAAGACTAATGAAGCTTGGTTAATTGGACATTAAATGATAAATCTTACATATCTTTCGGATACAGATTCTAATCATCTTAACTCATTTAGTTTTACAAGACAGTAAACTAATTGTTTGACTATTTTTCAATTTGCACATATATTGGGAATACACCTTTATATCTCATAATATTACCGGTTATTATACTACAGATCTGATTTATTTATTAATATTGTAATGATATTTATTATTCACGATAAGGCAATAAAAAAGAGATGACCAGAATATATTTTTGTTTGCATTTAAATGTTAGTGAATCTCAATTAAGAATGAGAAATGTTGACTTGCTTTTGAAAATAATACACTTAGCAAACTATTAACAATAAAAAATAATACAAATATTTTTATAATTTTCATATACACATGAAACAGTATAATTCCATGTCAGTTCCTTAATAATCATTATTCAGCCATCAAGATTGATATTAATTAGTGCCAAGAGATATTATTATGTGGTAGCTATGAAAAATGTGATCATTCCTAATTTTAATACTACAGAAAACTAATAACTGTAGCAATAAGACATATCAAATATGTATATTTATTTTTATAGAATATTTATATACAAGAAATGGTATAAGTAGATATATTTCTTTTTAGACAATATTTAGACATTTGAAATTATAAATAGCAGACTAAAGGGAGATAACTTTTGCACAACCCATGGTTTTTTCCTAAGGTGAACAACTGTGGTTTTAGCTGCATTTAGATCATTATCTAATTAATAAGATAAAATATATCGTAAAATGTATAGTTTACATTATATCAAACTCATTATGAATTCCTTAGAACAGAGTCTCTTTTCATTTATCATTGATCTTGGAGAATAAAGGGAGATAATTGGATAATGTCCCCTATTTTGCCACAGATATGACTTAAATGTCAATTCTTCTTTTTTTGCCTTGACATAACTTTTCCTCAAATTTTCATTGTACTGAACTCTTTCCACCATAGATGTAGCATCATGTGTCAGCACCTTGCCAGTATGAGGCTGATCATAGAACTTTTGTAATACACAAAGAGTTACTATTTTTTAATTGTGATTTATGTTATGGATAAGATAAAAAAAATTGTTATTTCTGTGTAAATATTTTGTATATAATACAGTATTACCGGTGCCTTGTGTGGATATACATTTATTACATAATTCTATATATTATCATAATTTTGAGGGAATGTTTTAATTGCTAGTCTGTGCTGTTTGGGATAATATGCAATATATAACAGGATTATTTTTGTTTTGAATATATTTGAATAGTATTATATATACACTTATTATGCTTGAATATGTATAACTTGTTTTAACAATAAAAAAAAGAATTCACAAATTTATATCTTTGCTTCTGTTCACAACCACAAGATAGAACAGATTCACTGGGATATAGAGAAGAACAAATATCCTCATTTATGGATGATGAAATTTAATATGATCACATCTTCATATGGTCATATATTGCCATCACCCCAGGGGCCGATCCGTGATTTTCAGCAGGGAGGGATCCAGAAATTGCAGATTGCCATATTAAAGTTTCCACCCCCAGAAAATTTGAAACAAGTGGTTGCCATGCCAGATATGCCCACCTTATGGAGGGGTCCTTTCACTGTCCCAATGCTTCACATCAAAGCCGGGTTTTTAACTCAATCAAATCTTTTGATCCTTGACGAAAAAATTGACAAAAAATTGTAGCTAACTAACTTCTTACATATTTCTCATTTTTATAAAAAGCAGAGATTTTAACTCTAGAATTTAAGGTCTGATGCGTACACAAATCGAACTTCAAGATATATATATTTGAAGTTTCATCCAAATCGGACAAAAATTGTGGCATCTACAGGGTCCATAAAATAGGGTAAAAGCATGTAATACCAAGGTTTTTTTTAACTTCACTTGCTTTTACACTATTTGCGTACAGGGGAGTGTGGGTATGATTTTCATGAAATACGACCTTCAACCATGGTGTAACGGTCAAATATAAAGAGTGCAAGAGATGGAAGGGGGACTCATTAAAGATCTTTTGAGCCTTAACATAAGTTTCATCGGAATCAGACAAAAAATGTAGCCTCGGGTGCGCACCAAAACCTTTGATACTAAATCGGACAAAATTTGTCGCCCCTGAAGGTTCCACTACTTTGTACATATTAACATTTTGCAAAAAATACATGGGGCATAACTCCCTGAATCCCCACCTGGTCGTAGAAAATGAAAAGATATCGAGTTAAAGTGTCTTAATAAAAACAGATTAAAATTTTATTCCTCAAGAGCAGAATATCACCGTAACACCACAGCTAACATATGCACCTGCACAAAACATTATAAATGTACATAATAACGATTCGTTCCCTCTATACTTATAATCTCCATCAAAGATTCATAAGTAATATGTTTCTAACAAACCAAACCGCTTTAGATAATATATAATATGTATAATTGGTTTATCTGTCAAAATATGGAATATTTTTCAAACATTAATTTGATATTTTGTCAAATACCAGAAACCCACACCAAATCAGGCAAAGAAAATAACCTTTCCAAATAGGCCGCTCTTGGAGCATGTGTTATACATCGGAAATGTACAGATTACATTTATAGTGTTTACAAAATACGTACGAAGTGGGCACCAAAATACACATACATCCATACAATAAATAAACATTTAATCATACTTCATCATACCAAGAAATTACTTCGCAGATTATAAAAATAAAACTTAAAAATTCACAATATATAAAATATAATAATACAAGCTCACAATTCGCAATGTCCAGGTCTGTCGAAACCAAATCTATATTGGGGGGGGGGGGGGGGGGGGGGCAGTGCATAGTGTCAAAATTGTTTGCCAGTGAAAATGGTTTAATGAAAATAAAACTTAATTATTCACAATATATAAAATATAATAATACAAGCCCACAATTCGCATTGCCCAGGTCGTGGGAGGCGGGGTGGGAGGTGGGGGGTTAGAGGCTGAGCATTGGGTCAATATTGTGTGCCAGTGAAAATGGTTTAATGAAAATGAAAGGGACTAACGTCCTACTGCACTGTACTGTCGAGAGAATGAAAATGGAAAGAGTTGCAAAAAATAGGGGCCGGTACAACCATCCTTCTTGGTTAAGTCGAGGGGGGGGGGGCTAATGGTTAGTATGTGCTCGCTGTATCATAAAGTCTGTCATTGAGTCAACAAGCGTGGTTTCGATTCGTCAGTTATACGTGACAAGGAGCAAGATCGCCTGTCCAACCTCGTGGGTTTTCTCAGGGTCCTCCGGTTTACTACCACTGCTAAGAACCCTTACGCGCAAGCGAATTATTGGAAAAAAACTGAACCACGTGTTAGTCCCGAAATGACCTAGTTTGTGTCGAGTGAACGTTAAACCCCATTTCTCTCTCTCTGGTTCCGACGGACCTGTTATATTTAATATCAAGAAATGCATACACGTTGTGGTGAACTTTTGATTTTTAAATCGTTAATCTTCTTAAGAACAAGTTCGCTGGCGGATTTGAAGGAGGATAGAAATGTTTTTGAAGAATTCGCCAATTTCGCGGGGTTTTATTCCTTTACATACACAATTTTATAAATGGATAATTGTAAATCTCATTTGAGAACTATGCAACGGCATCAGATCAAGACGATAAAAGGCGAAAATGGTCAATTCCTTAAAACACAAAAAACTGAAATCGACAGAATGTGAATGTTGAAAATCAAGATTTTAAATGCCGACTTTGAAATACACGAAACGCCACTGAACTTGTACTTTTCATGCAGAAATGAACACTTCCATAGATATAAATACAGGTACTGCATCATAGTTTGGAATAAAACTGAATAATTTTGATTCAAATTATCTTTCAAAGTTCTATAAACGTATCGGCACTTGTTTTTACTTCGATGGAATTACATCAGCATCCTAAGTTACATAAAATGTATAAATCAGCCAATATATAGCGTTAAAGGCAACAAATACTATAGGGAAGGCAACCCTCGATATTTTATCAGCCATACGAGCTCTCTGTCGGCGTAATTTGTCTCTGAGATAGAGAAACCTTTTATTGGCACTCATGGTAATCTGAAATAGAACAAATTTTAAATTTAATATGTAAATAAAATTATTTTAGTATTCTATCAATGTTTCTGAAATTTTAGACAAGAATGCTGTCAAAGGCGGGTATGAAATTTATGTAGACATAAAGGGGCTTAATCTAAGGCGAATTTGATCTTTAATTTCGAATTCCGTTTCTGAAATTATACCATTGTGGCGGTGGTGGTTTCCATTTTTGCCTTTTTTTGTAGATATAGGCCTACCTTATAAAAACCTACCTCCTTTGTTTCCAAAGATATAGGATCTCCATTCCTATCGAATCCTTCGACAGTTCTACCAGAGGAAGTTGAATGTAACACAGATTCCCGTCTTCTTTTTTCAACTCGAGCCTGAACGTTCACATAGGCAAATTCTAATAATGCCGCGAACACAAACACTAAGCACATAGACATCCAAACGTCTATAGCTTTTATATAGGATACGCGTGGCAAGGCTGAACGTGCGCCCGTGCTCTGTGTTGTCATGGTGAGAACTGTCAGTAACCCTAGGGACACGCGCGCTGGAATGGCGTCAATATCTATCCAGAAGGAAACCCAGGATAAGATGACTATAAGTACACTGGGAATATAAACTTGAGCTATGTAGTATCCAAATAATCTAGTTAATGTAAAGTCTATTTGAATACAGGTATACTCTCCTGAAATATAAGGTAATATATTCTTATAGTATGTATATATATTTTATATATATCAAAGTTTCAGAGAACATGTATACTAGGCGGGGTGTTGCGTGGCCGAATGGTTAGCGGGCGCGCGCTGCATCATAAGATCTGTCATTGAGTCAACTGGCGTGGTTTCGATTCCCCGGTTGTATGTGACAAGCAGTAGGGTCGCCTGTCCAACCTCGTGGGTTTTCCCCGGGTCCTCCGGTTTCCTCCCAATGCTAAAGACCCCTACGCACAAGCGAATGATTGAACTAAAATCGAACCATATGTTAGTCCCGAAATGACCTAGTTTCGAGTGGACATCAAACCACCCGGTCAGAATGGTGCTTAACATCTTACCAAAACAATGCTTCTATTATCTTCATAGTAATATATTATTTACTTTGCTAATTTTTTGTTTCGATGTTGAATTTCCCAGAGCGAGGGACGATGAGAAATATTCCCCGACTGGCTTAACATCTCATCAAGCAATCTGATTAAAATACAGATCTATATTTCGTTTTTTTTTAAATACTTTCGACGGCCTACACTACATGAAGAGTTGACCAGTTGTAGGGTAAGGTACTAAGGTCGCGTCAGATGTCATACGAGTGGCTTTTGACCTTATGACGTCAAACATTGATTAATCAATAAGCGTTGGCGTTTCTAGTGGTTTACCTAAAGTGCCGTGCACCTCACGCCAAAAACTCGCCGTAACAGACCGTTTCATTGGCTAATCCAGATCCTAGTGTAGTAAAGAAAAGTAAAACGAAATTTTGATCTATAAAAAAACGAAACGAAATAGGATCTGTGTTTTTACCAGATTGCTCGTCAAGTAACCGCGATATATTACTTCGGCCATTTTGAGGCAAACTTTTATTTCTATTGTCTTGTGCGGCATTCGACGGGAAGAATGTAGTTCCCGTGAGCCTTTTGACACTACCACAGAGTGCACGTTACCTTGAACGAATAGACATATGTTTTACTTCAACTAAAGTAAGATGGATTCTTGTTTGAAAGATCCATTCTACTCTGCTTGGGTATTAGAAGCCTACGCTACTAGTCAGATGGTATAACCTGGGGTCATTGATTACAAAATACATTTTGAATGCAAACATTAGTATAATGTAAGTTATCCGACAGACTATATTTACCGCTGACAGGGGTATGATATATACTTACCCACAATCATGTTATTATCATTAAAATTATGTTCACAATTATTTCGAACCCCGTCAGATTTTACAGTAAATCTTGGCAATGTTAATCCGTTTCTCATGATGATAGGGGTGGAATGCCATTCATACACTACGTTCTCTGAACTATAGCTGTCTGAAAACAAAATTATAGAAAAACAAACTAAACATGGCTACATACATTAAGAAATTTACAGCTTTCTTTAATTCTGAATATGATCGGTGACAAAAGTAAAACAATAGATAAGAATTTTTCATATTAAATTTTTATTCAGTGAAAGACATGCAACGGAACAGAGAACTATAGTAAATTTTTCAATTAATAAATTTCGACTGAATAAAGAAAAGCAAATGTAAGAATGGTTTGTCATTCTTTTAATCAACTGTAAGGACGGGCATGATTTTTTTAATGAAACCTCATCGCTATTTAAAGTATGAAAGATTTTCGCTTAAAATATTGAAACATGCATATTTCAATAGCCAAAAATAGATTCACTTACAGCTGCCAATTCTTAAGGAACAGATTTGTTCATCGTGTGGATATCTCTGTAGAAACATATCACAACTAGCCGACATAGATATTCTATAATATAAAATTTATAAAAAATAAATCCATCTGCAGGATTGGAACAGAAACAACATATACCATAAAGATTAAGAAAATATCGCCAGAGCAATCGAAGTTCGTAGAATATGAATCATCCCTGTGGTTATTCCTTGTCATAGTTTAAATCACCAAGATAAAGGTTGATTAAGTTTTAAAGGGGCTAAATCGCTAATATTTGGGACCTAGAAATTGGCTTAAATAGGTCTCAACGCATATAATAATGTAATATTAATGTATTTAAACCAAATTACATTCAACCGTTTCTGTTTTTACTGTATAATTTCTAAACAGTTATGTTCGCCGAAATATGCCAGAAGTCTCAATCGAATGGCAATTTCTAGCATCTGGTTATTCTAGTCTACACCGATAATATTTATTGCGCATCTCTCCAGATAAGAATATGGCGTCACCGTTTGACAGGACTTGTGGAATATGCCTAGCTTCGTTTTTCGAGTCCCTTATGACAAATAGCGCTGAAACGCATTATGGTACACGATTCGTGTACCAATCGTAAAATGTTTATTTTGTCTTAAATATTGGATATCAGAAGTCCATCTTTACCCAGTAAGATCATAGCATCAATGTTGATTTAAATTGACAAATAATTCGCGTTTTCAATGTCGAAGATTTTGAATGATATTGAGTTAGAGACTTAGCTACTTTAATATTTCCCTCGACCGGTTTGTAAGGAATTCAAATTCACTCAAATGACGATCGTCGGCTTTAATCATAAACTGAAAGTTTTATGAGTTATTTAGCTCATACACTGCTTGGACGACTTGGCTGTTGGTGTTCGAGTGTTTCTTTGCCTGACAACCTATATACTAGTGACACTATCAACACAACCCAAAACATGGTTTTAACCAGTCGAGTATTATTTTCGGTTCACACCAATTAAGTTATGCTTAATAGAGAGGCAGTTATATCTGTAGCTATAGAGCGGGAGCCCAGGGGGGTAACCTAGCTGAAAAGTGTGCCAATTTTCTCCTATATGGTATCAATGCATGTATATCTGGTATCATCAGAATGTAAGTCTGCAGGGTTTCTGGTGGTGGGTGTGGTATTCCACGCCCAAAATACCCCCCCCCCCCCAACTAGGCTAGATTAGCTCAAAAGTGTACAACACGAAAATCTTACTGCAGTGTACCGTACATCTTCAGGTGTTACAAAAACACTCTGACAGGCATTTCTAGTGGTGGGGTACCCCTGACAGAGCTATGTAATTGCCAGACATTTGTAGTGGTGGAGTATCCCTGACAAGAGTTATCTAATTTCCAGACCATAACTAGGCTAGATTAGCTGAAGTCTGTACCACCTAAAACAACCTTGGAGTTGTTCAGTACCACGTCAGGAATCATGAATGGTACACTGCTTTACAATTTTCATGTGGTACACTTTTGAGCTAATCTAGCCTTGTTGGGGGGGGGGCGTGGCATTTTGGACGTGGAATACCACACCCACCACCAGAAACCCGGCAGACTTACATTCTGATGATACCAGATATACATTCATTGATACCATATAGGAGAAAATTGGTACACTTTTCAGCTAGGTTGAAATGACGCGCTTTAATTGCGTCATGGTTTTGAGTTTTTACGCCCCTTGAGTTTTTGTGCCCCTCGCAAATGGCAAAACAAATCACGCGGTTTCAGTGCGGTTTTCAGCATTATAATCATAATGCTTAACCAGTGTCGAACATATACCGTGCTACAAATCGAACTAACATGTTCCACACAGCTAAATATTACCTGAGAGGGACCCCCTTCCCCCTCCCGCACACACATATAAATGGGGACCCGGACGGTATGTGGTTCCTCATGCAAAATCATGGGTCACTACGCCCCTGATCTGTAACAATCGTTCAAATCTGGATATAAGCACTAAAATCTGTATAGGTGTCCGTTCAGGATCATTTATTAAGAAAATGAAGTTAGACACCTGAATTTCCAAAATGGTCGCCATTTTGCAAGATGGGCGCCATTTTCGACTTTGCTTGCATCAAATTGTACCTACTATAACTAGACCGATTGAGAAAAACGCCCATATTTTTTAGCCTGGACGACCGAACGTCGGTTCACATTCATCTGTAATAGTCTAGAGGTCACAATGTTCCGATTTTGATGAATCTTAAAACATATGTTAAGGAGCAATAAATTTAATAGCCCAGAATCATTTGGTGTGATTTCATGGCAAAAATATTATACTTAGTTGTGCGAACGGCGACCATCTTGAAAATGATTACTATCTGGGATTTTTTGAATGGCTAATATGTGCTTTTTCTAAAGAGCAGTCCCCAAAGAGTAAGTGTGCCAATTTTGATACTTGTATCCACATTTGAAAGTTTTCCACCATATCATACATTCAAAGTACTGTGTTTGGCTCTTATAATGTCTTGTCTTCTAGTATGTACAAACAAAAAACTCCAGCAGCTCCTTGAATGATCTAGGCAACCGAGATTAATTAGAACCAGGATGAAGAATCTGACACATCCAAGAATAAACAGTGAGTAAACAAATTAAATAATAAAAAAATATCCAGTTTTTGGCTCTTCTTCTTCAGCCTAGGAATTTCTTTAGTAAAATGCACTTGATAATGAAAGGTTCCTTATGCTTACAAAATGTGTGGCGTGCTAGTTTGTGTTCCTTTACTCTACTGTCATTGAATGCAAACATTTGTCAGCTATGCGATTCCTAAAATGCTAATTGTGCAGATTAATTATCGATTTCCAATAATTGACTATAATAAATTTTTTAAACCCCTTCTACCTTATACTGGACTGTATTGAACCGTTTCTGTATATATGTAACAGACGGTTTGGTACCGTTACATCATGAATATTAGCAAACTTTTCATTAATAAAATATATATCAGGCATCCACACATCTGGCATCAACTTGGTATCTATTTCCAAACGTTTTAACAATTTGGAATTATCCGACCACGATAATCGGGAATCTGTCCAGTTTGTCCGAAGGAAAATACTCATGGAATATTCCTGTAATAAAACAGAACAATGTATATACAGTAAGAACAATGATAACTCGAATCATGATGACCTGAACGATGTCAGTATAATCTCCTGGATATAAAAGAGCTAAAACTGAACATATTCCTAAAGACAAATCTTAATTATCACTTTTAAAGCATAAAAACGATAGCAATTTTAGATTGACAGTAAACATGTAATCAAAACAAAACGGCAATAGGTCTTGTTTATTTGGAGCCTTGGGGGAATTACCTTTATTCTACGCTAAAGACAAATTAAATTTGTTATTCCGTGTATCCATCAGATGAATCACCAAACGCTACTTTTTATAAAGTTAATTGCAGCTGATGCGAAATCCTAGACAATGTTTATGGACAAAGCGCATGGTTCTTAGTGTATAACCAACAGATATTTGTTAATTTTTAAACTCGGTCCTATCTAAAAACTTCAAAACGACCAAATCAATCGAAAACTAAATTTAAATGTCTGGATTCCAACACACTTAATATATGTTTAATGATTCCAGTCTCCAATTTAGTACGCTGGATATTAGAAGCAGACGAACGGCCGATGTCTGATTTCATTATTTTCATATAATTGAGATGCTTTGTTCACGGAATGATGAGCATTGTTCCACCTTTCCCTAGACTTGTTTACCAGATATTTAGGTGGTGTTTTATTGATAATGTCAGTGACTTTTTTACGTATGAGAGAGAGAGAGAGAGAGAGAGAGGGGGGGAGATCTAACGTCCACTCGACATAAACTAGATAATTTCGGGGCTGAGATATTGTGGTTCGATTTTGATCCATATAGGGGACTTCTGTAGTGGGAGGAAACAGGAAGACCCGGAGAAAACCTACTAGATTGGATGTACATTTATAGGAATATTTCCAAAAGTGGTGTTTAAAGAAACATTATGGGAGATTAGATAAAGAGCTGGCAGTTCTCACTATAATAGTTAAAAACAAGATAATGTAAAGGGAATTTGCTGAAAATTTTAGTCAAATTGATCCACTCTGGACCGAGATTTTAGCGATTGAATTTTCGGCCTAAAGTCTGTACGATAAAAAAAAACAGTCTCGATTATCCATTTCATGATTAAATCATGAATGAAAGTTAAGCAGCAAATGAGGTCCTAATCCAGAAAATATCGCAGGCTAGTTAGATTATGGTCTGGATAAGTTAATTAATGTCTAATTAATAATTTAGATAACATTTTAGGCCTCCTAAAGAAAGACCTGCAATAGGCAGATTTAGCTCTTGCATGATGTATTTATTATGTCCATTGTCACAAAATTCGACCATATCTTTTGAAAGAGACATTATTGTTTTGTTTTTCTAGGTAGACGTGATATTAGATACGCTTCCTCATTCAGTCTTTGTTTTATGCACACCCTGGCATAAACGTCTACTGGTCTTTTTCTGATAAAATTATAAAGCTATGGAGTATTATTTGCAATTTATAATGTCTGAAAGAGAAACATAGCTTTATAATAAGAGAAATTAGGTGTTATGTCCATTCAAAAGCCATTTTCAGATGGGAAATTAATACTTTAATATATCGTTGGCATGCTGTTACGTTCCTCAGCAAAGGGAAAACCACAGAAAACAGATATAGCAACCTAACGGCCGACGCTTTATTACATCTTTGTGAAAATGTAGATATCTATTAACACACTTGATGCGTGTTCAGAAACACATCGTCTAACAACGAAAACATTCGACTTTTATCGCTAATTTCTGAGTAGGAGTACAATTTCCAACAATGCTGATATCTTGATCAGTGATATTTAATTATTGAACTGAAAATACACAATTCACACATCGAACAATTTCGTAATTGCATTTTTCTCAGTTGCCATTTGTATAGAAATTTAACCTTTAGCATGATTCCGGGATAATTAAACGTTACGTCATGCAATGCTTTGATATTTTGACGCACAAAAACAGGAGAAATGGAAAATGTCAATAAATTTAAACTAAAGGACTATCCAATCAAATTACTCTCAATCTACTAAGATAATTAAATATAAAACTTTTCTTTACACGTTGGTACCAGCGGTAATAGATGTAATTTCGCGTAGGTAACCGTGTGGTTAACTTAATTACTTGCATTATTGACAGTGTAATAAGAACCAGACACTTGATGAAATACGATTACTCAAAGATCAAGAACCTTTAACTTAGTAAGGCAATTGATTTACTCGTGTGTTCGTTGAAAAATATTTAAGTTAACATACTGGTTCCTAAAGAGCTATGGCAATGAACTATTTAATTCGGGCGTTTCTCACTCGTAGATGAAGCAATATCAATATTGAAAAGGCATCTGAAAATAAGAGTCGCTTCAAAAGGTAAACACCGGGTAGATGTAATTCGCTCACGAAACAAGTTGAAGCGTACAATGGACCAGAAACCGATTATGGCGTCATCGCGTAACCATCTGAAATCGAAGTTCTCCATTCGATGCGTAATTGTCCAAGGAACAAGCATGCCGAGTTTCATGTCGAGCGTACATGAATTGGCAGAGCGTAATTCGTTTTTCGAAGAGTGTCGCACCCGAGAACAGCACGATGCATAGCGCTTGGGGACCAACATTTTAAAGGCAGGTGTCAACTATTCGTAGCATATCAACACATTAATTTAAGCAAATCATTACTTCTTTTTAAAGTTAAAATCAAATGTTGCATTATGTAAGAGCTAAATCTGCTCATTGCCGGGTTTTCTTATGACCTCAAATGTTTTATAAATTATTTATTAGCATAAAAGAACATAATCAACTCTCTAGAATATCGGATACTCGCCATTTACAAATTAATGATTGAAACAAGATTGTCGTTTAATAATTTAATTTAAAAATGCATAATCAAGAAATTGTTTACTATCGTAACAATGGTAGCAATGACAATCGAAACTACGATATTCTCCAAACAGCCATACCAGTTCGCTCAGAATTAAGTAATTTGACTGTAATTTTCAATATTATATTCATTTTTCATTATCCATTTTTAAACTATTATAGCGAGAACTGTCAGCTCTTTACCTAAATCTTAAATAATGCACTTTTAAATGTAAATTACCTGTATCTAAAACAAGTAGGAACATTTTATTCTGTCGATTATTAATGTATTGTCACTAGAGACATTGTATATTATCGGCTTGTGGTCATTTGCATATCATAAGAATTTCACGATTCAACTTTAATTAGGCATGCTCTTCATACAGTTATTAAAACATCACAAAAAAACGTACCATAGCAGCTTCGTTGACGGAATCAAAACTAAGAACATAAATCTGTACAGTAACTTTGGTAGGATAATCTATTAAATGAAAAACAGAGAGCAAGCGAGCTCGTTAAAATACTAGATAAATTTGAAGAGGTTAGTAATCAAACGGCGGTGTCCATAGCTGTATAGAGAGAGCTATCGTTTTCTAGACAACTTTTAATGTGCTTGAAGATGGTAAGTGTAGGACAATTTAGTTCTTTTGATTTTGCTCCGTCTAATGAAAGAAAATTCACAAGTAATACATTTTGGCAAGCTGGAAATATGTCTGGTAGTGGAATTCATCCAGATAAAAGACGCATTAACTGAAGCCGGCCAAACTACACACAAACAAATCTGTCGGATGGCATGTATGACGTCCTGAAACATAACGTAAGGATCGTTTAGTATACCAAAGTCACGGGCACTTGAAGGGATTAAAATAAAACTTCTTACTACTGCTTGACTATATATTACAGTATATAGAATGTTTCTTACACGCCATGTTGTTTTCACGCGTTCAAGACATTTCGTCTGCTATCATCTCACAATACTCACTAGTTCTAACATTTCCCGCCATTTTTATTGCTAACGTGACTTTATTTGATCATTATACACCTTCCAATGTAATTAAATTGGATATTTTACAGACTGTGGAACCGGTACCAACAAACACACAATGTTGATGATAGACCTCTTTCAGGTCGTCCTAGAGCCATTACACAAGCCCAGGATCGATACATTTGTACACAGGTCCTGCGAAATCGAGGACATACGGCCAATCAGCTTTCTGTAAACTTGTACCAAGTTACAGGAATTCGAGTTACACCCCAAACGATTAGAAATCGGCTACATGCAGCTCATTTGCATGCGCGACGACCGCGTGTTGTGCTTCCATTAACTTGCCAGTACATGGCAAACAGGCGTCAATGGTGTAGGCAGCGTAGAAATTGGGGTAATCGTCGACGGGGGCGTGTAATGTTCTCAGATGAGTCCAGATTTACTCTGGATTTCACCGATAGACCTGCCCGCGGTTGGAGGCGTGTAAATGAGCGTCATGCTAACGTTAACGTAAGACAGCATGACAGATTCGGGCGTGGGGCTGTTATGGTGTGGGGAGGAATCACCAAGTATATATAGTCAAGCAGTAGTAAAAAGTTTTCTTTTAATCCCTATTATGATCTACTCCATATGCTTTCATGTACATGGTGATTAACCCATATATCGGCTACGGTTCAACTTTTAACATATTGAATGATCAGTATTGACGACAAAAACAGATTCTTAAAACTGTTTAGTCCATTCTTCAGACATAATTGTACTTAGAATACCTACTAAATAGTAGCACTTACCATTTTCAAAGTCTGGTGGAATGCGTGGGTCGTAGGTTTTATTATTGTGTAATATGGCATTGATGATGGCTTGTCTGGAAAAAAGAATACGGATCAGTGAGTGTAGGAAATATAATTTAATATTTTAACGACTTACTGGTATATATATATAGATGTAAATCGTTCAACATTAAACGTTAGTTAACCACACAAAGCCCAGGCGGTCCATATAAGTCAACAAGTCAACGGTGACGCTGATTTCCCTCGCCTCAACCCCCAAGTAAATAGATCACACTCATTAATTACTTGCCCATTTATCGTTCTAAAGCTTTTGAGAGCAATCCACTTGCATGTTTAGCCTATGCAGGAAATTCTCATAATCGACCTCAGCACATTCATCTAACCAACATCTACACCAAGTTTGAACATTTTACCTAAATTAGAAGTAGAGTTTTGGGCTTCCAGATATAATGTGTCGCGAACAGATTGACGGTAGCTTCTTAGCCTGACCAAAAACTGCCCTTCATCGCACTCATTGAACAGTTACAGAGTTATTGTGTACCATTAAAGGAAGGACGGGTGAACCCATTTTGATAACCCACTGCTTTCTTAGAAATGCGGGGCACAAAAATCACTAAAATGTTACAGCAATACGATAGCAAAACATAATATCAGGTCGTTTCTGGCGAACCTAGGAATCTGATATATTTAAGTATTGAGAATTATGCGTTTGAAATTTGCGTTCTGTTGTTATCTCTGTAGCCATCAAATAATAACATTTATGTAAATAGCGTTCGGTGTCCTGATGTATATGTATGATATATTAAATCACAAATGAATGTCATTATTTATTGTCCACAGATATAACAACAGAACGCTAAATTTCAAACACATAATTCTCAATACTTAAATATATAGATTCGTCGGTTCGCCAGAAGAGCGACGATATGATATATAACCAACTATATGATCACATTTGTGTGCTGTACCAATGATACAAACATCTCCAGAGAAACGATTGCTAGCATTCTCTCTTACTTTTATTTCCAACAATATAATAAACTCTACATTATTCATAACTTAATGGCATTAAATGTGCTACTGTCCAAAGTGTTCAAACCATTGTTTCGCGTTAATGGAAGCTAAATAATATAAAATAATTTGAACATATTATAGACATTTGTCACGAAACAGAACAGCAGTGATAAAATGGTTTAATTTGATTTGCTCTTCGGCCATCATCCGACTTGATTATACACGGTAGCCGCTTCTTGAAATATCATTCTATAAAACCATGCGTTAACATACAGAAGGGGAGCCACAGTGGCTAAGTGGGTAAGGCGCTGGCTCGCCAGCCTGGGGGGTCGGGTGTTCGATCCCTGAATTGGCCGAGAACGTTCAACCAGATTTTCCGGCGTGGTTCCCTCAGTGATGCAGGACGTAGGGCCTGACAAGGACAGCTGTCTAGTCGTTCGTTTGAGACGAAAAACCGAGGTTCCGTGTACACATTGACATAGACGTAAAAGATCCCTTGGCAGTTGGAAGTCGATATAAGAGTAGACCATAGCGCTACTTCCCGGGCAAAATTTTCCTCATAGCACACTGTATGGCGTATGCCCGTCTTCATTAGCCCAGTTCACAGCAGAACGGCGGGACGTTAAACCCCATTCCATTTCATTTCACATAGAGAAGGACACGGGACTTGACCTACTCACTAGAATTTTCAGGTGATTCCTATTCTGTCGGTTAACGGAGATTTATTTTCTCAAGGGACTTTTAGAACTATTTATTCATTCATCAGTATGAGTAATAACAGACTGATATATCATTTCAAGGCAGCTAGGTGATGAAGTATATTGAATATATATTGACTTAGCATGTTTTAGAGGATTCCCTATGGACCATTCTGTCAACACTATATGTCTCTTCTACACTGAGATGTAATCCCTAGAGACGCAGTTATAAAGTGACAAGGTTTCTCTAATTGCTTCATAATAAACGCCTCCAGAAGAGTCATAGCAGCGACAGACTCGGAAACGTTATAGATTATTCACGTTTTCAGAAAGGATACAACCACATTTGAGAGAGACGGGTGTTGTGATCCAGTATCTGCCAGGGGTCTATATACAACGACTGTGGGTGACAAGGGTTGAGTCTTAGTTTTTCTCCAAGTTATTCGATAAAATAAAAGCTAATCAATAAAGTACTCTCGTGTATGTCAGTACAGATATAACCACATTGAGTTTCCTTTAAATCGTAACATATACCAGAAAAAGTAATGAATTGACATAGCATTGTTATTGTATTATCTTATAAACCACCAACTGTCTTTAAACCGGAAGCTTTCACATTATAAAGGCCCCACCATGTTAAAGTTCATTATTGAGCGTCATTCGCACATTTTGATAAAATAGAAGCGAATTTTAAACATCGCATCCACAGATTGCCTAACATTTAGCTCAAATAACAAAGGAGTCTGTTCAGGTATGGCACCAGTATCCGGGCTTATACCTATCTACAAAGACTTTATTGCAATAAAAGACGATATGTAGACACGATGGGAATGGGGTTTTTTCTGGCAAGTATTAAAGTTGTCGTTGACATATGTTTTATATTTCCTCTATGTTTGTTGGTGTTATTAATATTCCTGTGAGTGATATACCGATAAAAGAACTTTGATATTGATGTCAACATTTTATTTAGTATCGTGGAAAATACACCTATACAAAACGTAGATAGCATTCGGCCTCAAAGATATCAATAAGTTGTATCTGTAATTGATCATGAACTTGGGATGTGTATTAACAACCAATGATTTCTGGTTATTTCCAGTTTACGTGTTAGTAAAGATGTAAAATAACCTTAATGTGGTGATACGGTGTTGGTTACCTTCAAGGTCTTTTCTTCCAGAATTTTACCTGCTTCAATATAATACTCTTCATTTAAACAGGTATTATGTAAGAGCTAAATTTGCCCATTGTAGGTCTTTCTTTGGGCCTTAAATATTATATAAATTATTAATTAGACATTTATTAACATGACAAGACCATAATCAACTCTCGATGCCGTCGGATGGCTCCGATTTTAAGTAGATTAGAACGGTTCGGCCCTTTACTATTTAGTGATTTGATTTAAAATGCAGAGGCGAGGCTAAGACTCGACGGACCAGTACGCTTGGTAAGATCAATGCACACATCTTATGAAAACAAGAACCATTGATACCTTCGCCAAAACTAAAGTAATTTGAATTCAATTTTCAATATATTCATTTTGCATTATCTATTCTTGAACTATTATAGCAGGAACGGTCAGTTCTTTATCCAAATCTTACATAATTCCCCTTTAATTATTAGCATCTGCCATAAAGCTTCAAATTGTGATACTAACAATATAAGAGTTGTTTCAAAATCGTAGTTTTATAAAGTTTCTTTACATCTGAAAGTTATCTTAATAAAACGAACAGTTAAACATACATTATGCAAGAACTAAATCTACCTATTGCATGTCTTTCTTTAGACCTGAAATGTTATATAAAGTATTAATTAGACATTTATTAACAAAACCAGACCATATTCAACTCTCGATGGTATCGGATACTTGAGATTTTAACTAGATTAGAACGGTTCGCCATTTAAAAATTTAATTTAAAAAAGGGAAAGCAAGGCTAAGTCTTGAATATACTAGTGACCTGGTTATCACAATGCACACATTTTGTCAAAACTACAGTGATAACTTGGCTCAGAATGAAGTAATTTAAATGAAATTTTCAATATTTTCATTTTACATTATCTATTTTGGAGCTATTATTACAGCTCTTTATCTAAATCTTACATAATGTATCTTTAAGTTATCTTAATTTAAAATGATAAATGGTGTTTTATTTATTTATAATAACTGTGGAAATAATCTCCTGAGACCCATTTGTGTCATATTCTAGGTCAAAAATATAAGCGATTTAGCTCCTTTAAACACTAATTTGTTATATAGCGTTGTAATATATTTTGTAATATGTAGGTTATATTTATTCACTTATACCAACTTGAACCAACAAAACCCTTTGATTTAAGAAAATGGGGTTGATCAGATGTGTTATTTCATTTAATAATGTATTTAAATGGCCACCGACGGGCACAAAATCGGATTGGTGATTTCTCAACGTTTGCTTTATTTGCAGAAATAAAATGTGAAACAAAAGGTCTACTAGGGGGATCCCGAGGTTTAATCTTAGAAATCTCAGAAACCTAACCACATCATATTTTATAATACCATGTAATATTTATGTAAGAGAGCGAGCATTGGTCTTTTACGTTACTTCTTAATATCCTCACAGGGTTAATCAGTGATATATAATCAGACTAATATACGTACAAGACATCATTTAACACCAGATTAATCTATAGTCTTATGTTTTTATTATCTACCACAGTAGATAATTTATAGCTGATGAGGTCAGATAAAACATAAAAAGAAAGATTGATTAATGCTTTCACAAAAAGCCTTTAAATGAAGATCGGATAACAAATACAGCTTTTCCGTTTCTAATCAATTAATAAAAAGTATAGTCTTAACAAACGGCATATTGGTCCACATTACTTTCCTATTCGTGCCACCATCTTTATTGTCTTAAGACTCGTCACTCGGCAGCCATATGAAATGAAATTTGGTATAACGCCCACTGTTCTGCACCCACTGGGCTAATGAAGACAGCTCGTCAGTCAATGCCACTATAGATAACTTATTTCTAGCCATGAACATCGCCCTTGTCTTAATCATCGAAATTAAATACAAGGGTCGAAAAATGTTCATTAATTTAAAAATTGCTAGCAGAGTTCAAAACTATTTATGTCCAATATCAGTGTTAAATGTTAGTTTGATATCGAATCTGGTGGCAAGTTGATTTCTTTATTTGAATACGTATTGGGTATGTGTGTGTGTGTGTGTGTGTGTGTGTGTGAGGGGGGGGGGGGTGATCATGGAACTGGACAGAAGACTGATCTCAATTTTTTTTTTCAGTATGCCCAATTTATATAGACAAACCGGATATTGGGTGTCGCGAGCGTCCAAAAATTAGTCCTCTAAAGACAATGTTTAACAAGAATAATTCATATTTACGTCGATTACGATAGTTACAAAGTTGACCGAGCCTTTAAATAAAGAAAATTTCTAGAGTATGGCTGCTTTAAATCTTAGAGATCGAGTTGACCCAACATGAACCTTATTGAAATTAATGCGACCTTATCGGGTTTTATAAGACAGTATTGAATATTAATTGAAAAGGCTGTCATGTATAGTAAGGCACATTACACCACCTCTAGAAATCTACTTAGGGTTTTGACAACTAAGAACTTTAAAAACTTCAAACATATTATGTTATATGTCGGATTTGTTTGATATTTTGCATCAAATCCGGGTTAATTTGCACACACCCCAATAAATATATACAATAGTCAATAATACAATATAATTGCCTATATCGATCCCCGATCACGTCAACAAATCAAAATATTTTTTTTTTCTTTTTTGTTTTTACGACGGGAGAAGAATTTAATTTAAATGTTCGTGTTTCTTTAAATTAATTTAGTACAGCCGGCCTGGGGTATTTGCATCATTGACAGAATATTTACATAAATGAGTAAAAGTCTCATCAAAAGTGTCTACACAATCTGAATATTATGACATTTGAAGAATTTGCAATTCCTAATTTTCAGTTTACAAGACAAGTCTTGTATTATTCAGTTAAATGCTGATCTCGATTTGGAATAATAAACATATTCTAACAGGCAATCTGATTAAGATCTGATGTCAATAACGTTTCCTTTGATTTTATCTGGGTGAAATACTTTCATTGAAATCGGTGTTCAGATCACGTGAACCTTATAATAATATGGACCTATCAAATTATCCGTATTGGTATACGGGTCATCGATGTTTTGAAGTAGACTAAGCTAGCTTTTGGGTTATGATATGACTAATTGATATACGCATGTTAGAAAATCAGTTTGATTAGTTGTGTAAAAATCAGAAAATGAAATTTGTAATATGATTATTATGAGATTGTCTGCAATCATGATGCTTGAAGTGGACAGTTCGTCCGTGGTTGAAAACTGGTAAATGTAACATATTTAAAGTACAGAACTACATATTCTGCACATTACATTACCTACTGTAATGCAGAATTAATGCCGATTAGTCCGACAGATAACATTTTTCCTTTAGTATGTATATAACAAAAAGAAACCTAACATTCTAGAAGATACTGACACGACAGGGAAATAAAAATACTTTTTCTTTTAGTACCAACACCTACCTTGGAGTTTTTAATGAGTGCCATTTTTTAAAACTCTTCAATTTATATCCCCTTCCCACATATTGAAATACTTTAAGATTTCTCTTACTATCTCTAATATGATATCCACACATTAACTCCAAACTTAAACAAATTAACACATAGATATATAACCTCATAGTAGACCACTTGTAGTCAATATAGGTCCATTACACTCAATTTAAGTTACGAAATCCGATCCATTCCATGTTAAATCACAAAGGTAAAAATATTACTAGATTTTACTGCAGATATTAGTATATGATTGCATTATGCCATAAGAAGTTGTTTCGCGGTTTAAACAGAAGTCTACGGTGTAGTAGTAAACAAACATCGTTCATGAAGCACTGACACACTTACAACCAGTGAACTGCTGTAATTCTGAGTACATCATTACCTCAGTATCATCATGAAGCAAACGGTGATTCGGTTATAACGTCCATATTATGGCTTGATCAACTCAGCATGTAGTTAGATGAGATGAATTTTCCTTATTTTGTGACGCTTCTCTCAATAAGTGGCGTATACTTGCACTTAAGGGTTACACTGCTCAACACTCATGTTACTATTATAAGAATTGATCGAGCATAAGAGCTCAAATATTTGTATAGTTTTGCGTTCCATACTTCTAAACAATTATTAACGCTTGTCATCAATAATTATTCCCCTAAAGCTGACACGGCATAAACAACCGTTATAATTGTGCCCCTGAAGAATGCCAATAAATAATCACCATATTCCACTTAAACATCGTGTATTGTAGTCAACCTGGTCGATTCTGAGACTAACATCATAAATATTCAGGCCCGTAGCTAGCAGGGGGGGGGGGGGCAAGGGAGGCAGCCCCCCCCCCTCCATTTGGAAAAAATCGGCTCCCCCAATGGGCGTCCTTTCCATGCCCATATCGGTATTGGCGCCCCATAAACCCCCCAACCAATGTCGCCGATCATGTCACCATAATGAATCACACGATTAACACCACAACTTGATTGATGGCGCGCCCAAAACGGCGTGATCTGTGTGGTGCCTTATCTCGGAGGGGCGCCCATAATGACAAGGTTGGTGGGGTGCCTTATAATGACAATATGATTTTTCGGGCCGCACATAATGCATAATGCCGAGTGAGGTTGGCTGGGCACCCACGACCGCATACCGACGCCCAAAGAAATCTACCATAAGAAAGCCTCTGGAGATTGTACAAAATTTTCCAGGTCAAATTCACGATGGGGAGGCGATTAATTGAGGCCGCACCTGGCGTGATAATCTTCAAAATTCAAACAAGTCGCACTCTAACCCGATTCCGAACTTTTCGTTTTTCTCATAAATTATTATAGGTACGCTGAAGTCGTATTCCTTCCTTCAAATTTTTATAATGTACATATCAAAATATCATATAATACGCCAATATCTCAAATTCAGCCTCAGAATTGAAATTTTCCGTCATTTTCATAGTTCCTCTCCTCAGGTGCAACTGCAAATCCTATTTTCCAACATTTATTTTTTTTTTTTGGGGGGGGGGGGGGGGATCAACACACACACAAACATTTTTGGGGTAGCTACGAGCCTGCATAAATATTTATTTTCTATTGGTTTGTGCGCAATATGGATCTCTTCTTTGCATTTTTTCAACTGCGAAGGGATTTTCACGCGTGATGCCGTTATGTATTCGAGGGATTTCGGATTTCCATCTCAATAATTACACAATTATATTGTATTCTGTAATATGGAATACTTTCTGAAGATGACATAATATGTTAAAGTTTTAGATGGAATGACTGGTGTTTAGATGAACAAAGAGCATACTTGGAAAGGCATCAAAAGGAAACTCTGATTGCATAAAGAAACCCAATCTGTTTCACAGAGAATTACGAGTCTCGTAGAATATCTCTGTCATAGATGACTGCCTTAACACGTGCTGTCACAGCACGCGGTGTGAATCATTGGCTGAATGGCGCGTGCATTGTTTACATAAGACATAACTGCTTCGGAGAGAATGCTGCATTTTAGTCATTTTAATACCCATTTACACTAAATCGGAAATAATTTTTAACTACAAATACGTCAAACGCCTTTATTTATTTTTCCAATATATACAAAAAAATGTTTTAGAATTTAATTTGTCGCAGGAAAAAAGTTAATATTTCTAGCTCATTAAGCCGCATCAATGTCATCCTTATCAGTGATTGTCGCGGCCAAGCAAATATTCACTGCGGATCAGTGTGAAAGAAACCTTACAAAGTTATAATTAAGCATGCATGACTAGTAAAGTGTGCAGGAAACAAAGTTATAGGTACACACATATATTGTCACAACATAAATTGGTATACAATAGCTCCTATGCATTTTAATAGTTTTACGTTTTCGTTCAACATCAATATTTTAAACTACTGGGAATTGTTCTATTCATATTTGAAAAGTGGTTCCTTATACAAACTTAGACTATAGCATATTGACAATTGGCTATAATATCAACTGATATCAAACGATTAAAACATTTATGTCGTAGTAATAAATATTGCAGGGCTTTGTAACCTGATCATATAATTGACTTCAGCGCCATGATTTCACTCTTATCTTCTGTACCCACTTCAATTATCCAACCGCTCAACCAGTTTCAATACATAAAATATGTATTAATGATTTATATGTGCACTCGTTCATCTGATGATAGATGACTATTTATAACTTTTATAAATTGGTTAAATTAGTTAAGCGCATTTACACCACCTGCTCAAACAAGTGTTATCACATGTTTTACAGATATGATGAATTGAAAGATAAATATTATCCTAACTGAGGCCATGGGTTATTCCACATATCGACCGAGGGTATTAGGGTAATATTTGTGTTACACACTGACATCAATGTTAAATCTATCCTAATTGATTTCACCTATAAGACAAAGGTTTAGCCCATATCGGCCCTGCGATGTTGGCGTACCATTATTTCAATAATCGTATGGGCAACTTGCCAATCGTACATTATTTATACTAGTGAAATATTGAACTCGCATAACGTATTTCACTGTAAAAGCACGTGCGGAGTGCCAATCGTACATTATTTATACTAGTGAAATATTGAACTCGCATAACGGAGTGCGGAGTGTCTGTATTTAAGTTGTTTAATGGTCTCGAGGTTAAGACATTGCGTAATATATTGTATAAACACTCGGGCCTACGACCCTCTTGTTGTTACAATATATTACTTAATGTCTTGCTCTCGACCATTAAACAATACGTAACCACGTGCTCTCAAACTGTTATTCATTTTGTGCAATGTTGTGAAACGATTCTGACGACGAACTGATCAGCGCAAGTCAGTTTTTAAAAAATATGGCTGAAAAAGAAAACGTAGATTCTGACAAAGAATTATTTAAAGCTAGTCAAAGTGCAGAATTTATGCAGGAAATATTTAACAAGGAGTTAATGTACTCGGATTGTGAGATACAAATGATAAACGCTTTTCAATTTCGAGTGACAAGACATCAGTGAATGTGCCAACAATACCGTGCCCGTAAATACCTTACGCAGAAATCTGTGGTCTATGAACTTTTTTGACAGTTGGTCAGTGAGCGAAAAATCCTGTGCGCGCTGGAAGATATGAGGATATAAGATCTTATATTTTGGATGTCTAGATTCGCCTCGGAAGTAAGCAAAATAAAATGATGAATATTATCCACCGAATTCCGTATTTAGTTATGGGAATAGTTTCACATTTACGGATTACGAGTAAAATTGATGTGGATATACTAAACAATCCAGAATGACAAGTTCTTGATGACCAGATGAAGAAACTAAGTAACATGGGCCTGACAAAGTTCGTCGTCCGAATCGTTTGACAACATTGTACAATAAGTGAATAAAATGTTAACAGAAAGAATTTGTGTCCTTTTTCTTTTCAGAGTCCGTAAACCTGTAAATCAGGGGGTGATATCTAATATCGTCCCTAGTATAGGGATATATACGATTCAAAAAAAGTAGGGGATATTTGATTTTGGGGGCATAATACTAAAATATGCAAATGACTACGAAAAAAGTCACTATAGAACCTAACAGAAGAAACATTTCCAGTTACATGTGACGCCCAAACGCACCAATAGCTACCGCATGGAATGCAGGTGATGCTTGGGATCATCATGGGGGTCCAACCCAAGATTTGCACGACTCTGACTTTGAATGTTACAGTCATTGTGGCATTGAATTCCAGGGTGGAAACATCAGTTTAATTGTTTTAGTGACCAGAAAACAAATTTTGATATGCGTCGGCTTACCCAAAATGAAAGGTTACGTGCCCTTGGCATGCTACAGATCGGCACAACACAGGCGGTTGTGGCGCGGACGATGAATGTTTCTCAGTCTGTCATAAGCAGGCTATGGTCCAGATACCGTGATACACAATCTGTACAGGACAGACCACGCTCAGGTCGACCAAGGGCGACAACTCAAGCCCAGGATCGAGTTATCCGTACCTTGGCCTTGAGAAATCGTGTCATCACAGCAAATCAGATCAGCGCTCGTCTTCAAACAGACACTGGTGTGAGAGTGAGTGGCCAGACGATTCGGAATCGACTGCATAGGGGTCACCTTCGCGCCCGACGTCCTCGCGTGATCCCTTGTTTGAGAGATCATCACATTCAGGCAAGACGTCGTTGGTGTAGGGATCGTCAACACTGGGATAATCGACGCTGGAGCAATGTGATGTTTTCAGATGAGTCAAGGTTCACTGTTGATTTTTTGGACAGACGTAGGAGGGTGTGGCGTCGTCGAAACGAGCGCTTCCAAGACGTTAACGTCATCAGACATGATCGATTTGGGGGTGGTTCTGTTATGGTGTGGGGAGGCATCACTGTTGCTGGAAGAACGGCTTTACATGTTGTTGCAGGGCGTGTTACAGGCCAGTACTACCGGGACAACATCTTGGCAGTCCATGTTGTGCCGTTCGCACGACGTCATGGCCGCCGTTTCATCTTCCTGGATGACAACGCAAGATGTCACAGGGCCAGGATCGTTACAGGTTACCTCCAACAACAGAACATCACCACATTACCTTGGCCAGCACTGAGTCCCGACCTCTCCCCCATCGAGCATGTCTGGGACATGCTTGGACAGAGGTTACGTCAACGTCAACAACGTCCTGCCAATGTCCAAGAACTTGCTGCTGCGTTGCAACAGGAATGGGACAATCTGGACCAAAATGACCTTAGACGTCTCATTAGGAGTATGCCACGTCGGATCAATGCTTGTTTGGCAAACAGAGGAGGATTTACCCGTTACTGACTTGGTTGTGATGCTGTGGTAACTTTGCTGTTTGACCCCGGGTATCATTTTACCCTTATAATGGTCAGTCTGTGCCTTACTTAGTCTAACGATCATTTGGAATAAATCGATGAATGTGAACTTCATTTCATTTTGTCATTTGTTTCTTCGTCAGTTTCATTAGGTGACTTTAATAA